ATGTGTATTTGTCAAATATACATAATATAAGCATAGTTGCTTGGAAGGTGGCAGAAATTGTTCGCATGTCTTCTTCAGTTGCTGTTGGTCAGGAAAGTGATTAGATATAAGGGCATTGTCAGTAAAAGTTGACCGATTTCTTGGGTTGGTTGGCCAAGGTCACAGCTGTGATCAGAGGGTAAGTCCAGAGGAGGTTAGCTCTTGGTAGAGCTTGACGAAAGCCTTTCTTTAAGATTGAAATAGACACTTGTGATGGTATTGATGGTATGGTGATCATGTGATGCAGAGATGTTGAAGCTGAACTGCCTGGTAAGGTGGAATACTCAATCGAGGTCCCAGTGGTGGGTTGATTTGTGGTAAAGCACATTGGTTGTTAGGGTTATGGTAGTGACAATGAAGGAGGCTTGGAATAGATAGTTAAAGCTGATGGAGCAGAATGTCTTTGGTGTATTCTGGTTGAATGTGGTATCAACAAAATGGGGTTGGTTAATGGAGTGGAATGTCTCTGTTTAGGGGTGGTGGCAGCCATGGCAGTGATGCTCACAGCATGCTTGTATGCTGACAGGTGGCCTTTTGGCTTGCAACTGTATTGGTCATTATGAGATTTCTTTAAACAAATTTTGTAGTCCCCAGGATCAATTTTTTTTTTCCTTGTGGAAGATCTATTGTATCATTTTTATTGCAGGGATTTGTTCTGGGCCGGATGTGATGCTTGGAGCCTATGTGCTGAAACAACTTTTTTATTTTGTGCTTTGCTTTCTTGGTGCTCACATCTAGCTAATATGTAGTAGGAATCAGGAGATCTAAAAGGTTTAGAGAAAATGGAAACAAAAAGGATACTTATACTTAATATCAGGAAGAGATAGTTGAAATTTCTGGTGCACTTAATGTTGAAAGTGAATAAATGAATGGTAGAACATCAACATTCTAAAAGGACATGACACATGGAACTATTGAAAATTCTATTGAAATCTGATGATTATCAAATTTTTGGTAGATTATAAAAATCTGAGTGAACATTTTCTCATACAAATTATAATTTCACACAGTTTAAATAACTTTTTAAATGCATATATCTCAGGATTTATATAATGTTACAGATAATTGTTTATACTGATATTTTCTCTACTTTTTCTTAGTCATGTCACAAAGACTGATGATGAAATTGACATTCATGTACAAGTTTTGTACGTTTTTTTTTTTTTTTTTTTTTTTTTAGATAGTTTTTGTAAATGTTGTCAAAAGTGTATGAAGGTACCTAACTATAGTACATCTACTAATTTACAGTACCATCATTCAAAGTAAACTTCTTTAAAATTTTACTTTTTTTATTCCCTGGAATCAAATATTTTTGGCAAAAAAATAAAAATAAAATATCAAGAATTTTTTTTTTTTTTTTTTTAAATTTTGAAAGGCTTTATTTCATAATGTTTCTCAGCACAAATAAGTGAATGATCAAGTGCCATACCTTTTCAAATATTCACTTGGCTTAGTTTTTCTCCAGTTTCTTTAACCTTTCCAAATTAAATTTTGATATTTAGTTATTTTGCTGTCGCCATCACCTCCAAATCATTTGAAAATTTCCTCCTTTTCAAACTCCTTTTAAGGTTTAGAAATGGGAAGGAAATAGGTGAAGCAAGATGTGGTGAGTAAAATGAATTGTTAATCCCACTTTATCTGTCTATATTTCTGAGATGAAGTATTGTAATTATTTACATTATTTACATTGTCCTCTGTTATTGCTATCACTTGACTTAAAATATTTTTACCCTAACTTGCCTTTAAAGGAGTGCCCTTTGCTGTGCTGATGTTGCTACATGCCTTACTTCTTGCCTATCTCACACTGCAAATTTTTTCTAAGCTCTATACTAAACATTAAATCTGTTACGAAAAAAGAACTAAACAAAATGAACACAAAACCATCAGCTTTAAAAAAGGACTTGTAACTGAAAAAACTGAATGAAAAAAGAATAACAACAAATACTTTTTCACACCCAACCCAGTTCTGCGAAATCAGAATCAACGTTGAGTTTAAAGCGAATGAGCCAATTGGAGTAAAGTGCCATGCAGATTTAAATTTTTCCCACTTGTGACGGATGCAGCTATCGATTTTTATTTATTTATTTATTTATTTATTTTTTTTTTTTTTGCATGCTAGTTAACATTCATGTCAGTCAGCTGTTGGCTCTCACACTGGCGGGTACAAAATGGCCGCAAACTACATGAAAACTGCCATAGAAGAATGAAAAAAAATTGATTATTTCCACTATCAATGGGAGTTGGGAAATGCAAAGTCAGTCTTGGCCTTCCCGCTAACTTGGAGCATGTGCATGTAAATCTTGGTGCAAATCCGTCGAAAATTGCAGCCGTGCATTCGTTACACACACACACACACACACACACACACACATGCACACACATACACACACATCCTGCCTTTTATAGATAGATGCACAATGTTTCTATCATTGTACGCTCCGGCCTTCTTCAGGTGATTGGAATTTTGAACCAAACCTTTTATTTCGTCCACTGGGGTAGATTGTTCTAGTTCCACATGCTGTGCCTCTTCCAGATGTCTTGCTTATCTCCCTTTAACTCAACTTTCCAAGTTTTTATTCACCACCGTAGTAGCCAGGTATTGAATTCACAACTACTTAGGTCAAGTCACTGGATCCAACCAATGCTTTCATGTGTTCATGCGTACAGTGGCTGAAATTTTGTGAACATAGAAATAAAAATGCGGACAACAGTCCGAATAATATAAATAATGTAAATAAATTCCACTTTCTTCAAAACATCCATCATCTTGTCAATCAGGTGCATTAGATTTGGTTGGTTTGGCAATTTATGTTTTGGTAGTAGTTTCTGTTTTTTTTTTTTTTTTTTTTTTTTTTGATTGATACCACACTTTTCGATTCGGTTTTTAATTTAGTATTTTTGCTTTCTAAGGAAGCTATTCATTTTTTTTGTGTAATGATAGCATTTTCAGTTGATATCTGATTTTGATGGAGATTGATAAATTTGCAACTTAGTTTGTTCAACTTGTAATTTCTTGTGTATTTCTGTTCCAATCTTAAAAATATTCATATGGCTGGAAAGAAAAGAAAATAATCTTTCTAAATATGTAATTGGTATCTGCTTTTGTTCATTGAATTATTTTTTTACAGTGAGTTAAAAAGGTATTTGTTTACGTTGAACAGCTGAAAATGTGAAATATGATTTAATTTTTTTTTTTCTTTTCTTTGTTTGAGACTAAATTTTACACATTACTTTGTTTCACAAAATCAAAGTGACCAATCTTTATCAATATTCTTGAAATTGTACACTCATTAGATGACACCTTAAACTACACAACCAGATGTTCATTTCTTCTCAAAAATTATAAAGTAAGCAGCAAAAAAAAAAAAGTAATAAAAGATAGTATGATTATGTGTGGTAAAAGAGCTTTCAATGAAGTACACGTGATCTAACGGAGGTACCTAAACTACTGTTTTTTTTTTTTTGTGTAAAATAAACGCCCCATATACTTTCTGACTTTCATGTGTTGTTTTTTTTTAAATGTCTGTCATTGTGAAGTCTGTTAACTGGTGCATAAAGAGTCAATATTTGGTTTTAAGCAAAGATAATAAAAATTTATAGACATACATAAAAGTAAAGACCACTGGAGTTGAAAACCTGAAAACCAAGAATCAGGGTGGGTAATAAAGTAGGGATTGTTCACCTAAAGTCAGTTTTTATGCTTTAAGGTAATTTAGTACATTGTCCTGGAAAAAGAAATCAAATTTCTGCATCTTTTTTATTTTTTTCCCCAATACCTTTTTTAATTAGCACAGGAAATTAAAGTAGTATTTTCCATTAACTATTTGGCCTTTCTGAAAATAGTCATTAAGATACATTGCCAAAAAACAGGTCCGTGACCATTCCTGCTAACTTTGTATCTTGAACTTTTTGTCTGTGAAGAATCAATGCTGCTACATGAACAACTGTTTGGTTTCCAGATCATAGTGATGTAACTGTTTCATCAACAGTGACAAGTCATTCCAAAAATGATTACTAAACTGCTGTTAAATAAACTAGAAAAGTTTCCACTCAAATGTCATTTCTGGTTGTCATTCAAACATCTTAGTACTCACTTGGCTGACAACTTATGCAAACCCAATTGATTATGAATTATAAACTAAACATATCCCCTGGATATCTCGAGTGTATTGGAAATTCTTTTGGCTGAAATTTGTTAGTTGGTCAAAATAAACTCTTCAACAATTTCAGAAGTTAATGATGTTGAAAGACCTACAAGACTGTGTTGCATCTTGGGTTTCAAAACCTTTACACTTCAATATTTTCATCATACAATCATGGACATTCTTTGGAGTTTTCTTCTGAAGGAGATAGTAGCCGAGAGTTCAACACTTAAAAATTCAAAACTTTCCATTGATATATGACAGCCAATGCTTTCAAACAAATCCAAACATAAACACAAGGATTCTGCAAATTGTCACTTTACAATATAAAAGAATTGTTTATTGCAAATATATCAACATCTAATTCAATCAATAGTAATTGATCAAAATATAAAAGAAAATGGTCTAGAGTGACTAATAGTAAAATTCTGGGGGACTTAATTGCACTAAAAACTTTTTTGGTATCTCCATTATTTAAGCAAAAGCGTGATGTCTTGTGAAAGGCATAGGAAAGTCGGTAAAATATCTAGTTTGCTTTTAGTCAACTGATTATTTCTAAAGTTACCATCATAGCATTTTGAGGTAATGAAAACTATTTATATTATTTTGATTAAATCAATAATACCTGTAATACAGACACACACACATCTCTTTTTTTTTTTTTTTTTTTTTTTTTTTTCATGTATTATAATAAAAAAAAAAATAAAAAAATGATCTTTTATAATCCATTTGAAAAGGAAAAAAATTTATCAATTTTTATTGAAAATTATTTATAGTACTACTGATTTAATAAAAATAAGAACTTTGAAATCATTTCAGACGCAAGAAATTGATGGACAGAAACATGATCATTCTACAACCAGCAAAATAAATTTGGTTGATTTGGCTGGCAGTGAACGACAGTCAACATCTCAATGTTCCGGTGAAAGATTTAGGGTAGGCAAAAATTGGTTATGAAGTTCTTTTAAAACATTTAATTTCTAAAATAATTTAAAATTTTCATTTCATGTTGATTTTTTATTATTTATTTTATTTTTATTTGATTATTTTACTAGTTTAAAAAAAATACTATTGACCAGAATCTCATATTTTAAAAAAATAGTTTTAAAAAATGATGAGAAAACTATGTAAAGCAAACTGAAGAAATATAACTCGAGTCTTACAATAAGACCTTTTATCATTTATCAAATCTTGCTCATAAAATTCAACAAAAAAATTTGTCATTGAAGGATTTAAAGGACTACACATTACAGTCCTGTCTATTTATCTGTACATGATATTGTCAAAACTAAATTCTGCAGGTATGGTGGCAACTTCCATGAACTTGATGAACACAGTCTATGAAATTGGAGTGGGAGACTAATGACTTTGATACATATTTCAATAGTTTCCCTTAATGGGACAGATGTAAAATAAAAATAAAAAAATGCTGATGTTAAATGAACAGATACATTTATTATTGGAGTCAAAGACAATTTTGCATAAAGGTGGTAAAAGTAAATGAAATTTTTGTTGGATTTTATGAGGAAGATTTGGTTTGTTGTATTGAAAACCCTCAATGTTATTATTGACATATGGATGACACTTTTTGTATATTTGTTATTGAGGAGTGGTTTTCTATGGATTATTAAAATTAATTGCATCCAACATTAAGGTTTAAGGAGAACAATGCAGTTTTGCTCTTTATGCATTTTTGATGTTAAATGAACAGATACATTTATTAGGTCAAAATTTTCATAAAGGTGGTAAAAGTAAATGAAATTTTGTTTGGATTTTATGAGGAAGAGTTTTTTATTGAAAACCCTCAATGTTATTATTGACATATGGATGACACTTTTTGTATATTTGTTATTAGTGGTTTTTTTATTAAAATTAATTGCATCCAACATTAAGGTTTAATTGGGAACAATTTTTTTTTTGCATTTTCTTTCAAAATCAGTTTTTTCTTTCTTTTTCTAAGCCTATTTTTCTAAATTATTTTTTTTTCTTTTCTTTTCTTTTCTTTTTTTTTTCTCTTTTCTTTCTTTTCTCTTTTCTTTCTTTTTCTCTTTTCTTTCTTTTTCTTTTCTTTTCTTTTTTTTTCTCTTTCTTTTTTTTTCTCTTTTTCTTTTTTTCTCTTTTCTTTCTTTTTTTCTCTTTTCTTTCTTTTTTTCTCTTTTCTTTCTTTTTTTCTCTTTTCTTTCTTTTTTTCTCTTTTCTTTCTTTCTTTCTCTTTTCTTTCTTTCTTTCTCTTTTCTTTCTTTCTTTCTCTTTTCTTTTCTTTCTCTTTTTTTCTTTTTTTCTTTTCTTTTCTTTTCTTTTCTTTTCTTTTTCTTTTCTTTCTCTTTTCTTTTCTTTTCTTTTCTTTTCTTTTCTTTTCTTTTTCTTTTCTTTCTTTTCTTTCTCTTTTTTTAAATTGAATTTGATCAAGATTTTGGTTCATTGAAGTCTAATTATCTTTTCTGAAACCCAAATAAAATTCTGAAATTGAAATCATGATGATTTTCTAAGCGTAACTTAGATGTGTCACAAGGCCAAAAGTGTGGAGCACCCAGTGAGGATTGAACTCACTACTCAGTTGTAATTGATTTAGCAAGACAAGCTTGCTGACCATATCGAAGTGCCCAAATTGAATTTACTATGAATTTTTTAGTTGAAAATAGCTATACTCTGGATATTGTGCAATTTAGCATTCGTACTAATTTAATAAACCCAAATTGTATGGTCTGGAAAAGTATCCTGTCTATTTGCAATTACTCTGGATTGGCAAAGTTAGCAATTTTTGCTAAGCTCATCTCTCAAAGCGTGCAGTTTTGTTATTTTTCTACCAATCCACAGTTTCTTTTCACTTCCCAACTTATGTTGAAATTAATTCTTAAAGATGTTCTGCCCTCCTATCATTGATAGTTCAGTGATTTGATTTTGAACGTCAGTGTATGGCAGAACTAATTGGAGGCTAGGATTTATCAGCACGTACCAGCTAAGATCCATCATGGTAATGCATCTTGTTAATACTTGCAGTTCTGTGACTGCAAAACACCTAATAAATAATCTGACTTGTGATTCATCTTTTACCAGAGATATTTTCACAGTAGTCAACAGAGAACATTCAGATTACCATTTGATAGGGCTTGAGACTATTTATATTAAGTCTAATCAACCTTCTCTCTATCAACAGAAGGAATGGTTACTGAGTTAAAAATGTAATCTGTGATTTATATTACTAATTCTCTGTTAGTATCCTCCCCCCACTATTATTTTGCCTATCATTGCTTTTCCTGTTGTTTTAAATATATTTTCATTAATTAATTTTTTTTTTTTTTTTTTTTGGCCATAATAAAAATTTTTAATGTACACATGCAAACACACACACACACACACACAGTGTCACTTCCTCTCTCTATCTATCTCTCTATATTTGTTGTAGTATGTATACTCATAAATTTGAATTTTTCAGTTATTATTCAGTTGTTTCACGTAGCAATTAAGCCTAAATTAAGCTGCATGAACTTTTTTATTTATAAAAATCTCTTACTTTTAAGAAATCATCAAACTTTCTTGAATTTATTCAGTCTCTTCCTGAATGTTTTCTTATTTTACTAATAAAAATAAAATAATATACAACACTGAAAAAAAATTGTTACTGTTCTGATAATTTTTACCATTAAACAGAAGTTTGGGTCATGTTTTCTAAGAGATAACGTTCAACATTTGTACAATTCACCCAGCCTACATAATTATGCTTCTACATTGCACTATGTGCAATTTAGAAGCATAATTCTTTTTCTTTTTTCATTTACTAGACAGACTGTGACATGTACAAAATATACAATGTTTTTACACAGATATTCATTTTTTTTTTTTTTTTTTTTCATTCATAAAATTAGACACCAATCCAGTGAATTTTTTAAAATATATTTGAATTTCTTTTAATAGGAAGGTATCAACATTAACAAGTCATTGATGACGCTTGGCAAAGTTATCTCCCTTCTGTCTGAGGTCTCTGCCAATAACAGCAAGAAGAAAGTGTTTGTTCCTTATCGAGATTCAGTTCTAACTTGGTAAGATATTTTTTAACTTATTATAACTCAGTAGAGCTTATGTCTTTTTCTTGTAAAGTTATTGTAATCAAGTCTTTATAAATAAACTACAGGAATTAGTGGATTTTCTTTACTTTTGATTGATAATAAGGAACAAAAATTGACAACACTTGAGGATATTAACTCAAAATTAATGTTCCTATGAGCAGATGAACATCTATTTGCTTAACAGCATATATGGAATATTAATCAACAAAGCATTAAATAGAAAAACCTTGTACTTTAGCTCCTGAATAAACTAACTTCAAAGATATTTAAGACCAGGCTTTTTTCCTTAAACTGTTTTGTTAATTATTATTTTTTTTTTTTTTTTTTGAGTGGTGATGCTTGTTAAAATTCCTTATGTTTTATTTGTCTCTGTTATCCAGATTTATTTGTTTAACTTTTGCCTGTTTTAGCACTACAGTCTCTTGTAATTTTGATTATACTGGAAGATTCATTTTTTTAATTGACTTAGTATATTTGACAGCATATTAGATGCAACCCTATTTCAATAGGGCATATTCAAGAAAATGTTTTTCTTCATAATCAGTCAGCATTTTCTGCAGAATGGATATATTTGAATGTATCAATAAACCCAGCCATTTCATAGACTGTTAGCACCAACCTTCTGTTCCTTTCTTTTGTTCTTCTAATCTCTTGATTTTTATTAATTATCATTTTATTTTAAACGTTTCTTGAATTTCTTTCATGTGCCACCCACTTTAATAATAATGTTGTTTGAGTAAATCATATAATAGTTGTGTTCACTAAAAGTGACCACCTGAGGCAAAGTAGTAGTAAGTGTTATGGATAAAATTAGCCTACATGAGACTCAGTTTCACTTCTGGGTGATTTTATTTATTTATATTTTTATCTTTTCTTCAAGAAGAAACTTTTTGGAAAAAAAGTAGGTATGTTATCTTATATTCCATAAAATATAGTCATTCTCTATCCCTTTTTATGGGTATTTTTCTTCAAAATATGTATGTTTTATTAGCAGCACATTGTTTCAGCAGTATTATTCAATCATTTCATGCCAAGCTCCAAAGAAGGCGATAAAGCCACTAAGATGCAAGGAGTTACTGAAAGTAAAAGAAATGGAAAAACTATTATTGAGGAGAAAGGACAATAAAAAGACGGGATTCAAAAAGACAGATGATGATAATTGACATGGGATTGCATTTAAACTTTTGAAGATCATAGCTTACAGGGAAGTAAGAAACCTGAAGAGATTTCCACAAGCAAGAAGTGTGGGAGAAGAAACTATGAACATAAAACTGATGGTTACACTAGCAATTTCAACAGTGAAACTAGGAGACCTAGCTACCAATCTAGTACTGTGCTTAAATTCATGAAGTTAAGGTATCAAAGAGGAAAGTTCATCAGAAAATATTTCTAAAAAAAGGCACAGGAAAGCTGTGTTATGGCAGTGGGGAAAGTGTACTGAGATGCCAGGTCATGACTGATAACATTGAAGATTTTCATATAGATTTTGTCAAGAATCTCTAGATATATATCAGAAGCATCAGACCATATGTGGCAGCAATATTCAATGCACAGATGAATGGTAAACTTATAAATGAGCAAAGATAGATTCTATCAAGAAACTGTACAATGAACTAACTTTCCTAGCAATTGATTCAATATAATTTTTCCACTTAATGTTAGTGGAAAACATTAAACCAAAAAAACACAATGAATTATTCTCCAGGAGGTTAGCATCAGCCATGCTGATGGAAAGTAAAAAAGATTCTCTCAGAGGATTAAAAGAGAGCTGTTTTGGTGGCATTAAAATTAACAAACCATTTCTTTTCCCAGTTAACAAAAGATTGTAGGTCATTTTTAACTTCAGCTGCCAATTTGACCATATTGAATCTAAATCGTTGTCAGCAACATACGTACAGTATGCAACCAGTCTAGGAGAAGGAAAACTCTGAATTCAAAACCGACCTGGAAAATCTGGAGGAAGAGACCCAAAGGCAGTTAACAACTCAGTACTTTCTTGAATTATCTGGCATCACCTGCAGCCTGTTGTCTCTTTCCAGGCGTCACACAGTTGTGTGCCCTGCGATAATAGGAAGAAAGGGTTGCTGTGGCTCAGTGTAAGCCATTGCAACCATCATACCACCTGCACAAGGCACCTAGGTTGGATCATTCTCAATGAACTCCTTGTAATATATATATATATATATATATATATATATATAGTTTTAAGGTGTGCTATATTTATGGGATAAAGTGCTCAATATCAGAGATAGAGCGTATGTAAATATAAATATAATGGATGCAATTGTCAGGCTGCCCTGACAATTGTCTAGCATGAAACAGCCTGTCACCTCTGAGTGTTGACATCAATGTTCTCATATATATATATATATATGAAGAAATATAGTTTTAAAGTATGCTATATTTATGAGATAAAGTGTTCAATAGCAGAGATAGTGTATGTAAATATAAAAGTGAATATTGAAGTCAAAACTTAGAGATTTTAGAAATTGTTTCATGCTAAACACAAACATCAGACCACAATGTGACCTGATGATTGCATTTAGCATGAAACAGACTGTTGCCTCTGAGTGTTGACTTCAATGTTTACTTATATATATATATATATATATATATATAATTAGGATAGAAATCCAAAATTGTCTCATTCGAAAAGCTGTTTCATCCCACAAGACTTACTTATAGGCCTTGTCAACTCAGAAGTGTGAAGAAATATTTCTTCATGCTTCTGAGTTGACAAGGCCTAAGGCTTGTGGGCTGAAATAGCTATTTGAATGGGGTAATTTTGAATTTCTATTCTATATAATATACATACTCTGTTATAATAAATACATTGAGTTCTTTTTGTGGATCAGTTTTAATATTTTATATTATTAGGATTCACTTGGATTATATACCAATGGATTATTACCTGTGTGTGTGTATATATATATATATATATATATAATGAAACAACTTTTTTTTACTATTGGTTCAGATCAGAATAGTCAATTTCTTATTTATCTTTTAAATATTTTTGTATTTGTAAAAATGTTAATATTTTACTGTATAGAAATTAAATATTAGCCACTTTTGCACTATTTTAATGTCTACTAATTGTTTTTAATTTCTAGGTTATTAAAAGAAAGTCTTGGTGGCAATTCACGAACAGCAATGATTGCTACAATCAGCCCAGCAAATTGCCATGTTGATGAAACACTCAGTACACTGAGATATCCTTTTTTGGCTTCACTACTAATTTTTTTTCCTGAACTAAATTTCTTTTTTCTTTCTTTCATATTTTTCAGATGAAAGTTTCTACTCCTCTACAAATAGTTTTGTTTTATATAGTTGTAAGGTTTTGTTTGCACTAAGAATATTGAGAAAGCTGTGTGGTAGTACTTTAGATATTTTAAATGAACATTGAATGAAAACTGTTGAAATTAAGTCTATACAAACACATTAAAAATGTTTATAACTTTTGCTATAACATGAATACAATTCTTTAAAACGCATCTGATCAGATATGATAGTTTTATCATTATATGATAGTTTTTCTGTTTTAGTAAATTGCTTTCCCTTTTACTTAAAGTGGCATTTTTTAAATCAAAATTATGGTCAGACTTCTTACAGTGAACAATTTATGCATTTAGTGTATTGTTTTGTAAAACATCCCTTTTGTGTTCATAAAATTTTTTTATTTAAATTCCTTGAGGTTTCTCTTATGTATTCCTTGTGGCAGTTATTACAGGTAGTAAATTCTTCCTTCAAGTTTTTGCTTATTTCGTTCTTATTTTAAGTCTTTTATTGTTTTAGATTTATATATCCATTTTTAATAGCCAATCTCCTTAACACTATTAAAATATGCCCAGCAAGCAAGGTTTATTGTCAACAGAGTACGAATTAATGCAGATACCAAAACAAAAAAAATCCAAGGTGAGACCTTTTGTAATTAGACTGCTTAAATCTCTGAAAATTTTTTTTTTTTTTTTTAGAAAAATGCTTCAGTTGACTTAAAGCAATGCAAATTGTCTTAGTTTAAAAGCAAAATAAATATTTCTTAAAATTAACATGTAAAGTGATATTTATTTTATATAGAGAGGAAAAGATGTTGATACATTTTTGTAATGGAGTTAATATGAACATTTATTCGTTTTAATATAGTATTTTTATTTTAACTTATTCCTTATGGATTTTCTTATCAGGATTAATGTCAGTTTAACCCTTTAGCATTCATCATGCTTAAACCCACCCTGTAAATATCACCTTTCAGAATCTCACTATGTGACTTCCTGCATTATTTCCAATGATATTGGCATATATTAGGGCAGAGTATACATGTGTTGCTTTACAGATGGTTGAACATTGAAAGCTGATATTTATGGAGCAGGTTGGATGCTAAAGGGTTAATTCTGTATTAAGTACTAACAGTTCTTTATTAAATTTATATTTTAAACAAATCAATTACTTCTGATATTGATTTTATGAATAGTCACTTCTGGTAGTTGTTGCAATAATCCTCATTCTACAGTATTAAGCATTCATCTTACTTTAGGCTTTATTTACACTATTTACACATGCAGACTATTATCTTCATCTTTGTTGTGATAACAACATTTTGGCTGTTGTGTCAGATGATACAATGGCCAATCATCAGATGTATGTCGATCCTAGAAACCTACAGGGAATTTCAAACCAAACCCTTTATTTAATCTAAATCTTAGTACTGTTCAGTTATTGCTTGCCTCATTTCCAATGGGTCTAAGTGCATTGCCTGGCTTGGGGATTGAACTCACATGTTTGACATACACATGATGAAGGCTGGAAGAGACAATGGCCAAAATGTTGTGATGATAACAAAAATGAGGGCAATAGTCCACATATAATTAGTGTAAATATTGATAACTCCTCATTCCAGAAATTCAGATTTAGGTTTTATTTATAAAAATGTTATGAAAGAATTTTGCTATATGAGATTTAAAAATGTTTTCTTTGAGAATTCTAAATTGCATTTTACACTTTTTTACTTTACAGAACTTATGGCTGAGATCAAAAGGCTGAAAAGTATTGCATCTGCAAAGAATGAAGGAAATCTTCATGCTGCCAATTTGGAAGAAATTTCTGCCCTACGTACAGAATTAGAGAAAAAAGAGAAAGAATTGAGTGAAATAAGAAGGTAATTCAAACGTTTGTTTAGTTATCAATTTTCAGATATGTTTTTAAAATAAAGCCTACCTTAGAAGTGACATTTGTAATTTTTATTAAAAGTTATCAAAGAGAAACCTGATTGAAATTGTTTTAAAACTAGGCAAAATTCATTTATATGAATTCATTATTAAAAATATTAAAGATTATAAATCCTAAAGCAATTTTTCTAGCTGAAAATTAGTTGGCATATGCTAATGATTCTTGGTAAATTCAGAATAAAAGATATATCTCTTACTCTTATATATGCACACACTTATGCTTTTTTCTTTTAATTAAAATACATATAAAGACAAAAGGATTGCTGAAATAGTTTTTTATTCCATTGTTCATCATTTAGCGTGTTTGCTTCTTTTATCAATGTAGTTAGTTTCTAAAGCTATTGCCAATGAATGTAATTAGCAGAAGGTGCCCATATTTTATTGCCCTTTGCCAAACTGCCAAGCTTTTTAAAAGTAGAAATTTACATTAATTTAATGATTAATTAAATCAATTACTTTAACCCTAGAACGCTAACCATGGGTATATAGTAATCAGCGCAAATTTTCCTATTTTTAATTACAATTTTCAGTACCTGATTTTCTTATCTAAATAATGTTTTTCAATTCCTATTAATGTTGACTTAAAGTACAAAGTTTGAAGTGCCTGCATGTAAAATATTTCAAATAAAGATTTATATTTAATTTTTTTGACATTTTCCAAATCGGGTATGATATACCCATGGTGTAACTTTAATTGATGGTTAGTGTTCTAGGGTTAAAATAATATAGGATGGAGCTAAAATCTGGAAAAAATGACCCAGGAAAAGAAAATTTATATCTAACAAAAAGTAATTACTAAAATAAATTAGTGTGATCAGAAGGAAGAGAACTACCTAATATTCTATTTAATATTTTGCTTAACACTATTATTTATGGTTTTTTGGTTTCAAGTGTAAAATTGGGTCAAAACTTTCATTGATATGCTTTAAGAAAATACAAGAATTGTGTAATTTTATTGTATTTTAAAAGATATCAAAAAGACTTTTTTTTTTTACTTTGGCATTTCTAAAATATTTTTTTAAAGTTTCAATCTATTTTAAAACATTTATTAGAAAATCTAATCTTTTTATGAAATTTCAAAGAGAATAATTTTGTAATTTTCATTATTTACATGAAGACAATTATTCTCATTTTTGTTGTTGTTATAATGTTTTTTTCTGCTTTTGTGTCCCCTAGCCTTGATCAGGTCTGTTGATCTAGGTAACCTACAGGGAATTTCGAACTGACCCTTTTATTTAATCTATGGAGGTAGATTATTCTTATACCACTGCCAATATTTAGTTCTTATTTAGTTTTGCTCAGTTATTGCGAGTCTCCATTTCCACAAAGTCCAAGTACTACTATATGCCTGTTACAACAACTGAAGGTCATTTTCAACATCAGCTACCAATTTGATTTTTACTGAACCTGTTAGAATTACTATTAAGACAGAAGTAAATAGTTATTAGCATAGAATCTAAGTCTGGAAATGATGATCTCAGAAATTTTTTTTTTATAAATTTTAACAAAATCCAAAGCTGTCAATGTATACTTAAAAAAAAATAAATTTCAGCTGTTACATTTTCAGGAAGGTAATATTTATTTTTTTATTTTATTTTTAATATTAACCATATTGCTGTATCAGGATTTTAATCATTACAGTAACTTTTGGTTTCTACTTTAAAAGATACATTCAAAAATTTTGCTTGATATACTGGAGCTAAATTTTTATTTTTAAACTTCAGGACTTTGGAAGAAAAATTATCTGAGTCAGAAAAAAAGAAGAAAGAACAATTTCAAATTCTACAGGTATTTTTCATAATTATTCTTATAAATAAATAAATAAAAATAGACAACAACACTTAAGTGTGTTGTCTATTTTTATTTATTTATTTTTTGATTTAATTCAATAAGACTTGAAATGACTTATCATTTATTGGATACCTTCTACCCCCACCACTCTGTATGGAATTTCATTTTATAGTAGCTTATAGTTTAAACTTGAAAATTAACTGTAACCATTAATTTCAAGTAATCAAAGAAAACTAGGATAGATTAGTCAAATATTTATTGCTAAAAAAAATTAACATGTGCAGAAAGGTTCCTGGCTTAAACAAGGAAGGATTGATTGATTTGTTTTTTACAGCTTATCAACCCTTTTACTTTTCAAACTCCTTTTAAGGTTTAAAGCAGGAAATAGATCTTGCTCCATCTGACTGTGTAGGATATATGGTCTATACATTCAGACTCTTGCCAACTTTGTAAACAGATGCATTTTCCTTTCAATGCCTCCCTTAATTGGCAAAGCAAATTACAGCAGTAATTTGCATTAAATATGTAACATTTATGAAGATACTCAATCATTAAAAATACATTTCTTATCCCAGCATCCCAGCGTTTGGATTCGAGAATAAAACAACATTTATGATGAAAACATGCTCCAAACATAGTGAAAACAGTTTTATCATCAAAATCTTCATTATTAAGAGGAAAGATCAAAATATTTTTTTGAATATTTAATTAGATTTTTACTCCTTTTTAGAACATTCGAAATTTTGATTAAAAATCTTGTTTTTCTTGTGTCAGCAAATTTTGACATCTTTTTTGAGGTGAAAGACATTAATTTGAAAATTTTTGTAAAAATTGTCGAATCTTAATTAAATTTTCAGGACTTATTCACAAATAAATTATTTTAGAAATGTTTTTATTAGAAAATCTTGGTAAAAATTTTTTTTTTTACTTTATGAAAACTTCAGAAATTCAATGTGATATTAGTTAAAAGAAGAATTCTTTGGAGATTTTTTTTTTTTTTTTTGTAAAATCTGTCCCCATCTTACCGAAAATCTGCTCTGAATCAAAAAGTAAAAAACACGATAAAACTAAGACATTATTTAATTAGAGAAACATTTAATTGCTTTTATGGATAATATATATTAAGGACAATATTGTCTTAAGGAAAAAAAATTTTCAATGAAAAATGAATTTAAAAATTTTAATTAGAATAATTTATAATATTTTTAAATCTTTTAAAATTCAGTTTCAATGGTGTAACTCTCAGGAAATATTGTTATTAAGTAAAACTACATTTACTAATCATATATCATAAAGTTTATTACAATCAGACACCCCTGAATATTTTTAGAAGAATTTTGAATTGTTTTGTTTTTGTATGTGTAAAGATGTACCAAATTTTATAGTTACGGCTGACCATATATGACACTATCAGAAAATAAGAGTGAAATCTATATTAAATTTAGAGCCAAAATTCTCTAAAATATTAGATTACGGATAATATTTTCCTAGATTTTTAAGATTATTGAGTACTTAAAAGGTGTTCACATTATATTCCTCAATTTTTTTTATTTTTTTATTTTTTTTTTTTTTTTTGAGGTTAAGGAGCCCCTAGAACAACATTACATAACAATCTATCCGTCATTGGCAGTCATAGAGATGTTAAAAATCTTTCAATATAAATAAACAAGCTACCGTTGAGTTGAAAATGCATTTTGCTGATATTTTAAACTTTAAAAAAATAATGGTTGTTTCAATTCAGATTAATTATACATAAAATCAGCTAATATTCATCAAATAAAATTTCAGAAAAGTATATTTTATTTTTTGATAATTTTTTTAATAAAGAGAATTAAATTTTTATAACACTTTACTAAAAATGGTGTCAAAATCAAATTTTGGAAATTTCAAAAAACAATTTCTTCCAATAAATTTAAGTTAGTTTGAAATACAGCACAATATTTTGTTTCTTGAAAATATTAAATTTAATCTCTAAGTTTGAAATTAAAACTAAAATAAAAGCTTAAAGAAAGCTTTTTCATTATTAAAAAATTATTTTAAACATTAACTATCACATTTTCATGGAGGTCCCTACCATAAAGTGTTAAATCAAAAAAGAAATATAAATCTTTTAGCTTTACCACTTTAAAGTGAGTAGTAATTTTTTCCTTTTCCTTGCACTTCCTTCTCTTAATTTTAATTAATTTGTATATATTATGTGAAATATATATACACTTTATTTTAGGATATTACAAAAAAACATGTTAAAAAAAAACACTACACGAATGCAATCATGTTTTGATGTGTATTAACACATCTCATTAGTAAATAACTGATGAATAAACAATTTATTGAGATTTAAAAACGAGATACATCCTCTTTTTCTTGAAACATGATTTTATGTGTGTAGTTTTTTTAATACATATTTTTGATGTAATATCCTAAAATAAAGACTATTGCTCTATTTTTGTATTGAGCCCTCATTTAAATTGAACATTATAAACATTGGAATTGAACTCTATTTGTTCTCAATTTATATATATATATATATATATATATTGTAAAGAAGTAGTCATACAAAGAATAAATCAGTAAAGTTAATGTAATTAATGACAAAATCCCTTCACTAACAGATTAAATAAGGTATTAACTCATTAACCACTCATTGAACAATGTGATCCTTGTTTTTAAAAACTGTAAAATGGATTAGATGTTCAGTCCATATTACAAGTACTTTTGATACCACTTGTATCATCTTTAGGTATGGTTGTTATTTTTCAATTTCAGGTAAAATTCCAAGACAAAAATAAATGTAATACTAGTCGAAAGAACATCTAATCCATTTTTACAGTTTTTAAAAACAAGGATCACATCATTCAATGAGTGCTTAGTGAGTTAATGCCTTGTTTAATCTGTTAGTAAAGTGATTTCACCATTAATTACATTAACTTTACTGATTTATTCTTTGTATGACTACGTCTTTACAATATTAACTAAACTGCACTATTTAATAGATTTAAAAGAAAATATGTAACTTCATGATGACCAGGGGTTTGACACTTGAAAATTCTACACTTTCTATTGATATGATTTTAATTATGTGAAATAAATTAAAAAAAAAGACACTTGGCAATATAAATGAAAGCTCTTTTTAACTACAATGGCAAAATAACTCAGATTTTGGGAAGTGCATTGGGCCAAGTAACTTTTTAGCCCTCAGACTCTTATATTATATAGGATATTTTGTGTGTGTTTTTCTTATTTTGAGCAAATTTTGTAAATTATCTTCTTCAGCATTCTGGGATTGCATTTAAAGTGGATAACAGTTTACCACATTTAGTAAATCTTAGCAAAGATCCACAATTATCTGAAGTATTGTTATATTTGATCAAAGAAGGACAGACAAAAATTGGGCAGAGGAAACCTCATTCAACTCGTGATATTCAGCTGTTAGGAGCCCTTATTGCTGACAATCACTGGTAAGTAAAAATTGCATTCAGCTTTTTGAATTTAAACATTTGGAAAGCAATTTGGATTTATCAATAAAATAGTTTGATTGCATTGAAATGTAAGATAAATTAACATTAATGTCACTGGACAATCACCAAAAAGGAAATATGAAAGAATACAAAATTCTAATAAGAATTGTTTTTCAATGATGAATGTACAAAAATTTAAGATAGCATATAAATAAAATTAAGATGTGTATAAAAATGGATGTAATTATGACCAAAAAATATTTTATAAATAAAGTTTAAAATTTATACAATACTTTAAGCAAATGTTTTGAAAATATTATTAGGAAGCAGCTTCTTGCTGATGTACTTCATAAATGATGTGGCAGACTGTGGTAATGAAATAAGCACATCCCATCTCCCCTCTTGCTTGTAACCATCCACTATAATAAAATAAATATTTTCAGCATTAAAGCTGAATTAGTCAAATAAAGCTTCTACTTAGCATTGTTGCTATATTACACAGTCAAAAAACACTTAAAAATCAATAAATAACATGTTTTCATAAAAATTAATTTACAAATTACAACTTATAATTTTATAACATTTTTTAAGCAATTTAAAAGGTAATTTTAATGCAATAATATTTTTCAGTAGATAAGATGCACTCTAAATTTAACATGCTTATGTTGGAGGTACAGTGGAGTAATGGATAGCAGCTCGAATTGAGGAATTGGAGAGCTGAGTTCAAATTCCAGTTGAATCCATTACATTCACTTATATGCTAATACCTTTAAAAAGGTATGAATCCTCTTCTTCTTCTTCTCCCATCTATGGGTAAATAGCAGGACAGACTGGGTTCTATAGCCTTGGATGGCAACTGGTCTACCGCAGAAAGAAATGGCAACCTACTTCGGGGGAAAAATCTGCCCTGTCAGTCATGTACCGAAAGATACATGATCGCCTAAGTATGTATTACACATGGCACATAACTGATTATATTGAAAAAAAAAAACAAAAAAAAACGTGGAAAATTTTATAGTCTTCTCCTTTCTTCATTGGGAGAAATTCATAGGTTCTAGGTTACACTATGTTGGATGCAGAATGATTCTGAGGGTCAAACTTTAAAAAAAAAAGCATCTTATATGCCACAAAATATGGTTATTCTACAGTTTCTCCTTTTAAATCATGTAACCTGTAGTAAGAATCCATACTTCAGTTAGGAGGGTCACATAAAAATGCATGCACATTTATAGAAATATCTATTAAATATATAGAATTACATTTTTATGCTGCAAATTACATGTAATGATTTACTCTATTTACATTATTCGGACTATTGTCCTCATCTTTGTCGCCATATTTATTACAACGTTTTTGCTGTTGTACACTTCAGGTGGTTGGAATGTCGAACTGAACCCTTTATTTTGCTCACTGAGGTAGACTAGTCTAGTTCTACATGCCATTTTTTTTTTTTTTTTTTAAATGGATGTCAGTTATCTCCAAGTTCTCCACTGCCTTAGCCGGGTATTCAATATTATTATAATATATTCAACTCACACTCTTTGGGTCCTGTCACTGGATCTAACGCCTTTATCCACTGTGCCATGTGAACCTGAGGACATCTGTGTATGAATTTCTGGGTATTATAAACCTAATGTCTTCAGCAACCATTTTTTACCAGTGCCATATTTGCAGTTTTTGTTGCATGTTTTTCGTAAAGATTCGGAGATTCGTAAACTTAAGGAATCAGTGCTAGGCCACAGAAATCTCCTGAGCCAACCAAGCATAGAAATGAATACAATTTGGGAACCAGTAATAAGGAGTGCCAGAGAAAAGCAATAACAACAACAAAATTGCAATATGAGCTCTGGATAAAAACATGTATTGATAACAGCAAAAATTGCAATATGAGCTCTGGATAAAAACATGTATTGATAACAGCAAAAATTGCAATATGAGCACTGGTAAAAAGGTTGCTGAAGACATTAGGTTTATAATACCCAGAAATTCATACCCAGATGTCCTCAAGGACACATGGCACAGTGGATAAAGGCATTAGTTAGATCCAGTGACAGAATCCAATACCCGGTTAAGGCAGTGGAGAACTTTGATAACTGACATCCATTAAAAAAAAAATAAAATAAAATAAACATGGCACGTGGAACTAGAACAGTCTACCACAGTGAGCGAAAAAAAGGGTTCAGTTTGACATTCCAACCACCTGAAGAAGGCTGGAGTGTACAACGGCCAAAACATTGTAATAAATATGGCAACAAAGATGAGGACAATAGTCCGAATAATGTAGATAGTGTACATAATACCCCATCTTAGAAATGTAGACAGATAATGTAATGATTTGTTTAAAATAATTTCACATAAATTTAAAATATTGAAGCACCATAATTTATAGTTTCACTGCTGAGAAATTTGGATATTTTGCAAGTTTAAATTATCAAGTCATAAATATTAATATATATTAAATTTTGGTAATTTGGATCTAATTCCAAACAAGAATCAAATTTCTTTCTCATTTTGAAAGGTTTGTTGTACTTCTTTTTCTCAATCAATTGCTGAGACTGAAGTATTTTGTAAAAAAATAAATAAATGTTGTGTTAAAAGAATAAAAGAAAAAAAAAGAAAAAATTCAGTAGTGAAACTATTTTTTTTCTCTGGAATTCTATCTTAAATGTTACAAAGAAGCTAATTTCACATATATTCACTCATGTAAGGATTTACTTTTCTCCAAGGTTTAATTTTTGTGAATTAGCTGTACAAAGTAGCACTGCTTTTTTTTCTTTTTCTTTTTTTTTTTTAATAAAGAGATTGTTGATACTGTGAATTATACCGAAAATATCATTAATTTTAATAATTACGTAACAGGGTGTGGCAGAAATAGCTCCCACAAATACCTCCCACATAATGGCAAAACATTAGCTTGATGAAGACTCCATTGCAACTAATGTCTTACTATTATGTGGGAGGTATTTTTGCCACATCTTTTAGTTTGATTGTTATATTCCGTGCTAATAGGAATATGGAATGGACAAACACGATGGATAAATAGTAACAAGTTTATTGTAGAAATCAGTACACCAAGCAAGGAAGTAATAGTTATGCACACAGTCATTGTAAGTCAGTACAGTTGTGTGTGTGCTGTTATCGGAAGGCCACTAGTTCTCGCAGATACCAGCTCGACTCTCCTGTCTGCTGTCCTAACGGATACTTATAGGTGGTTACTACCTATAGTGCCGCTACTCATTGCAGGTTATTCCATTACATCAATGATTAATAATTATAAATATCAAAGATGATATGTGAATGAGCTAGAATCTCAGTTGTTTATTTGTGTTTAATCAATCATTGTGTTTTATCAATCATTCTGAAGTCATGCAAGGTCAACAAGAATCTCAGTTGTAGACAATTTTATTTGCAATATTAGAATAAAAAGAATTTACGGAATTTTTCTGATTTGTTTTTGTTTTCTAGTATTATCAACAACTGTGAAAATGTTGTCACAATTAAACCAATTGAATCTGCACCAACCTATGTTAACGGTAATTTGATAACTGAAGTAACCAATCTTTATCATGTAAGTTAGATTTTTAATTTTTCTCATTATTTCTGCTTTTTTGCATCTTTATTGATGAACACTGAGGAAAAAACTGTTAGTAACTTTATGAAATGTGTGTGTGTGTACACCCTTGTGCAAATTAATTGAAACAACTGCTTTAATTTCCTTTCTTTCACCATACTGTCAGTTTTAGACTCACTGGAGTGACAGGGTGTAACTGATTTTTATTTTTTCTCAGATTAGGTTATTTGCAGTGAGGTGCAAATATGAATCTATTTTTGGGGTGTGTGATGAAATTTGTTTGGCATTGAAAAATATTGCGTTATATTGATTACATTAGCTTTTCATCTTGCCCAGACACTATTGTCTCGACTGTCAGTTAGATGTCCTACGGCCATTGTCTGCAATGGACGTTACTCCAAGGAAGCGTACGAAAATTTATAATGATGCATGAACACACTGGCAAGCCTTAACAGTGAGCAATGAAAGTACTATGAACTGGCCCGGAAACTCCCCTGATTTAAATCCAATCGAGAATCTGTGGTCAATCTGCAAGAAATGACTTTGTGGAATGTACATATGAAGTACTAACATGTGCACTGGATTGTGTTTCATTGTAAAAATATGAAAAAAAAGTAAATAATAATGTAATTATTTATTTTGTTTCAGTTAATTTGCACAAGGGTGTATATATGCATAGACTCTTACTGCCATATAAATTTCAAAAGATACAAGGAGCACAATCAACACTATTGAATAGTGCAGATTTTCAGCAACAAAACACTATTTTTCTGTATAGTCACGAGCATTAGGTATGCATTTTCAATAAAGATAAACAAGAGATTTTCATTTCATGGGTTGACAATTGTGTAGGATAACCCTGAATATGGCTTGTTATACACATTGCTGTTACCACTTATGAAAGGTATTAACTACTGACCAGCTCTGCTGACATCCGCTGTTTGGTTTTTATAAATGTTGGCATATGTTAGTAGTTGCAATTTTTTTTGTATGGAGCAATTTATTGACACATCTTTGCTTCATATACCTTTTCAAGTTGGACATGATTTTGAAAGTTTGCTGCTCAGATGCTATCTGAGCAGCAGACTACATAGATGAGGCAAAAAAAAATGATGGGTTAATGATGGGAAGGTTCAACCTCTACTACCTTATCACCAACAGCTTCTTCTGACTTTATGAACCAACATAATAAAAATAAATATGTATAAAGTATGAATTTTGCCATTTCACAAGTTCTCATCCTCAAGTTCCAATTTTTGTCATAAGGATTTGGAATCTTAATTTTGTTAATACTTCATTCATTTTCTTAATTTTTCATCTTAAAAGTAGGAAATTTTGAACATGTTCCCATTATCCAGATTTAATTTTAGTTATTGAGCAAAATTGTTGGTTCAATGCCTATTGATTGTATTCTTGCTGTTTCAGGGAGATACAGTTATTTTGGGAGGCAATCATTTTTTCAGGTATGTTGATTTTAAAATAAAAAATATATTTTTGGAGAATATCATTGACAAGTTTATTGTTATCAAGCAATAATTAGTGTTAATTATTTGCCCCCCCCCCTCCTTCATGCCTAGTGAAATGAAAAATCTTAAAATCTCAAATAAAGCATTGTTGTACTTTTATTGAGAATGAAACTCAAATCTAGAAAATTTAAAAGCAATATTCACTTTCTATTGTTTGATGCCATTACAACTACCAGATTAGCACACTGAGAGGACGCTCTCCTTGGTTTTTGTTTTATGTAAATAAACTTGTGGTGAAAATAATAAAAGAACTCTTTAATCTTTCTCTGACTTTCCAGGACTGAATAATTTCCCTTTGTTTTTTGTCTTCCTCTCTCCATGATGTAGTTGGCCATTTTCTTGTAACAGTTCGCTACCAGAGTAGATTTCTAGTAGAATAAAGCTTCACTCAAGCTATACTGACTCAGCTTTTTTCACTTCCACTCATACCCTTTTTCATAACAAAACTAATCACAGATAAAACAAAGATTTTTTTTTATTTAATAGCTGAACATTTTGTTTTCATAAAATATACCTTAAACAAACTAGATTAAATTGTTTAAATTAGTAGTATAACTGGTATGTTTTTTTTCCAGAGGAAAAAAATGGAATAACCTTATACTGAAGAAAAAATATGGTATTCATAAACAAAAAAAAATAGAATTAATACTTGTTTATTCCACCTTAAAATTTTATGACAGCCTTAATTCTTTCAGGCATGGATTTCACTAATTTAAAACAATATTTTTTTATCAGAATGGTTCTAACTTCTCCTGAATTGTGGTTAATAAACCACCTTAGGTGCATGGAAGCTTCCAATGGACCATTTAAATTTTCACCATAAATTTTTAATTGGATTTTAATCCAGACGGTTGGCTGACTATATTGTCGGAGTTACCTCCTCCTTAATTCCCTAATTGTTCACTAGGGGTCACTCTCCCTACACTATGAATACTGGGCGACTTAACGCCTCGTTCTCTTTTTCCTTCATTTAAGCGACTACAATGTAAGCTCTTGCAAAAGATAAGTGCCTTCCCATTTGTGGAAGATGCCATAAACATTACACACACACACAAATTTCCATGTTATTGTAGTGGACCTTCTAGCAGGAATAAACAGTACATGTTTCTAACCCAATGACACGTAAACACACACCGGGTCCTCTACAATATCATTGAATATTTTTTTTTTTTTTCTTGAAGAAAATCTTTAACCCTCTTTGCTGTAGGATAAGATGTATGATTGTCCTGACAAACAACTTCATCACCAAACTAATTTTTTATCAATGGAATGAGAAAATTATCCAAGATTTCAATGTACATGTGCATTGTTCATGTAATAACTGCCATCTTCCTTGGTCATTTTAATGACATACAACTCCATATCATGAATGACTTGTGAAATTTTTTTTTTTTTTTTTTTTTTCATGCAGTCATCTTTATATGTTTCATTTGAATGACACCAGACAAAAAAATGTCAGCATCATTGTCTTTACCAATGCAGAATGTTGTCTCATCACTGAATATCGCTTTCATCCAATCATTCGCATGCAATGATTGTTTCTTTTTAATATCATTTTCTTCTCTTTTTATGTTAGTGTTGGGTTTTTGTTTAACTTTTCTCTATTTAAATCCCATTTCATTCAATCAATTTCTTACAGTTCAGTCATAAACATTGACCCCTGTTTTGACACGTTTGTTTTGTTATACATTTTCTTTTTTCAAGGCATTATTGCTTTGAGTTTTCTATCCTGGCATTTTAATGTTCTTTTGTGGCCTACCATTATGTGTTCTTTTTTTAACCATCTCATTTCTTTTATATTTGAAACAAATTTAGATACAGCTGACTGCAAACAACCAACATTTTTCACTACACTCTTTTGTGGATTACCTTTTTGAATTAATTTTACAATCCTTTCTATTGTCAATTGACAGTTCTTTTATTGGAACCATGTTGCCTTTCCATTATCTATACCCACCCACTTGTTGAGGTCTGCAAGAAAATTCTTTTAATTGTAAACTAATTTGCATATCTAGGCTTCTGTTGGGGGATTTCCTTTAGGAATGCAAATTAAATGATCATTCTCTGATTTTTTTCATCATCATTGAGTTATTCCATTATATTTTCCTCTACATGACTAAAAAAAGATTGTACTATTTAATTTAAATAACTTAATCTAGTTTTTTTAAGGTATATTTTATGAAGCCAGTATTAAATAAAAAATGTTTTGCATTTTATTTATGATTAGTTTATTTACTCCTAAGTGGACATCCTCTCAGTGTGCTAATTTCATAATTTTTGCCAGGAGTTTTATGTATTTTTTAATAAAAAAAGCAACCTGAGAATAACATCAGAAAATTGTATTAAAGTTCATTATAGTTAATATTACCATTACCATATCGTAATTTTTGTGCTATTAGTAAGAAGAAAAATTGGAGAAAAATTTGTAAAAAAAAATTGTCTACTATAAAGAACCAGAAATATTTGTATTTAAAAAGGTGTTTAAAATTGTGACATAATAATTTGTACGAGAAAATGTTTGTGAAAAACAGATTTTTAAAAATTTATCAAAAATCAGGTAATTATTGGAACACTTACAGATTTTACAGGTAAGTGGCTGATCTGTTTTCTCTACTTAAAGCAAGATTCACCATTTTGAACATAATGAGAAAATGAGATTTGGACATCAGTTTGAGGAAAATTCAATTATTTCAGGGATGCATTTAAAAATTTAAGTGAGCTGTTGAAGAAAAAAATCTAGATAGATTTATAGATTTAGATAAAAATATATATACATAAAAGCTAGACGAGGTTTCTTTGGGGATAAAATGATGGATTGCCATTGACATTAAATTTTCCTGTCTGCACAATGGGCAGATAATTATGAAAATATAAAAAGGCTGACTGGATGGAAAATTGAATGTTGGTCAAATTAGGGGAATTTTATTGATAATGTTGTCAGTATGAACCCATTCTAAGAGTGATGACAAGTTTTTTTTTTTGTTTTGTTGGTTTTTTTTTTTTTTTTTTTTTTTCAACAAATGGGCACATGAGAACCTGGAAATTTGAAGAAGCTTTGAAAATTATAAATTAGGGATTTTTGATAACTCAATATAAGCAGGTAATTGCTGGCACTTTAGCAATTGGGAACAACAGTTGTTTGGTTGGCATGAAAGACACTGCAAGATAATAGTACCACTTCTCTATGACAATCTATCACTCCTTGTAGAAGAGTTGATCAACTGAAGAAATTTTCCCTTATTGTTTCTACAAGCAAGAGTTGGCTATCCTGAAAGTTGTTTTTTGTCTGTATTTTTTTAATAACTTGCCCCCTTTGTTCTTCAGGATGTTTTAACCGGTTTCAATGAAGACTTAGATTAAAAACTTAAACACAACATGAGCAAGGAAGATGGCAATGTCATTTTGCTGCTTTTTATAATATTCAATCTGTTCTTATTTTTGAATTATTGAAGATGTTTATATTACATTGTATATGTTATAGAGGACCGTGTGGTTGAATTGGTGTTATGGGACCTTACCTATAATAACATAATGGACTATTCCATACGTAATAAATACTGCACCTCAAGAGGCAGCAGAGAGTTCAGTCTGAAGTCGGGTGACCGGCTGATCAGTTGAACTCTCTGCCTTCGGGTGGGGAGGAACCCGAACGAAGCTATGCTGAAGGGTGGAGTCTCTTTTGGGGAGGTAAACCAACCCTGAACCCGTTTATATGGGTTCAAAGGGCATATTTTTGGCCAAGCCCACGGGCTCAGAGATCAAACGTTAAACCGGCCTTGTGCCACATGATGCCCTCGTGGGGAGGGGGACCAAATACCATTCGGTCTGGAGTGAGGTCCGTCAGGAGTCTGTCAGTCAGTCAGAGCGAGCAAGTCAGTCGGTCGAGTCAGAGGCAGTCCGAAACAGAGTCGCGTTCAGACAATTACTACAAGACATTGGAATAGTGATACTGGTCGAGACTACATTGTTCTCCCTACTAAACCTGATTGTTCATACTAACACTTTCTACTTCTCTGTATATATTCCTGTTTGTAATATATCTGTGTTATTCCTTAGCCGTGTTCGAGTTCTTCTTTATTGGTTCTACCTTGGGCTATCACCATGGTACAAGGAACCGGACCATAACAATTGGGAAAACGTGTGTTTTTATTTCCTGCTAGAATGGTCCAACTACAAGAAAAATGGTGGACTCAAATTTAGTCCAACTGAAGATGAAAGAAAACAAACAAGGAATAGATATATATATATATATATATATATATATATATATATATGTATGTATTAAACAACACAATTTTACAATGGACATAAACAATGACATTTGCATGTGTGTAAATGGGTTTTATTTAATTAAAGTTATTCATAAAAGATAAAATATCACACTGATTTTCAGTTTTATATATGGTGAAAATGCCGATTCTGTACATTTGTAATGAAAATATATTACCTAATTAATCTATTACTTGATTATAAAGGGGAAATTGAGTTCTTGCTTATATACAAAAAATGGCACACATGTTTATGGCAGTGTTATTAAAAATAACATTTCTTCTATGCAATAGCTTTGTTTAAAGAGAATCTATAGCCACCACCTTTCTAAAAATTCATCACTAGTCTTCAAAATCTTCTCTATATTTTAAGAACACCAGTTTCATAGTATTTACAAGTATTAACTTAGCACAGAAAGATTTAATAACTTTTCAAGAAATTTCAAATTCTCACCAATAAATTATGAGAATGATTTTAATACTAATTTTAAAAAATTAAAATAAATGAAAAATTTCAAATTATTCAGTATGAAAATTAATTGTAATTAAACTGACAACAAAATAACTTGCTTCCACCCACATAAACTACAACAAACACCTTCAACCTACATAAATTGCACAAACATACAAGCTCTTAAAAATGAAAGGGTAAATTTAGAATTCATTAATAAACTAGAATCCAAACTGGTATCAATAAATCTTGATCAAAACAACATAGAGGAATCAAATAACATTCACATATTAGATGAAACATGTGAAACCATTCCAAGAATACCAAGAAGGAAAAAGATACACCCATGGGACGACAATCCTGTGTTGAAAAAAAAAAATCAATCCAAGAAACAAACAGAAGAGGGAAAACATGGAAGGGAAAATACTAAACAATTAACAAAGAAAATACTAAACAATTAACAAAGAAAATTTAAAAAAAAAAAAGTTAACTTTTTGAGAAACCATTATCTTCGGAAAATTGGAAACAAAATTAATGAAGCCAAGCAGCATAGAAAATGTGTTAAAATGTGGAGAAAAGTGAAAAATCATAACATCATGCAGTCAAAACCAATACAGAAGAAATGTCCTGGTCTCAAAAAACATTTTGAATCACATTTCAATCCTAAACTAAAGATGCCCACAGAAATAGAACATATACCAATATATATCCAATCGTTATGAAGTCCATTTCCAAACATAAACGATAATGATGCTACTGACAAAGAAAAGTTATTTGAAAACTAAGGCATCACTTGACATTGAGGTTGAACTTTTCAAAATAGCTTACTTTTGTCCCAAATTCAGTGACAAATTTATCAATTTTATGGAAGAAAAAAAATTGGGGTTTATGACACATTAATGCGCTATGGAAACAGAAAAGTATTCTTCAAAACCCTAAAACATTCAGAAGTATCTCAGTTTGATCCATTATGGTGAAAGTACTAATGAACATTATATTAACTATGCTCTCATTGTTTTATGAAAGTTAACTCCTCACAACCCAATTTGGTTTTCATTCTGGTAAGGAATGTAATGATGCCATACATGTCATCAAACAATTCCAGGAAATTGCATACCACTCCAATAGAAAATTGTATACCTGCTATGTCAACCTTATAGCAGCATATAAACACATCAATATAGACTTCCTCTTCTCATCCATTATAAACTGCCTTCCAAGCTCCAAATCCATTGAATGCATCAATCTAATAGAAGAACTTTATCTGTCTACAAAATCTTTTAAATACAGGAACATTTCACACCTCATTGGGAGTATAGCAAGAGGGAATGAGAGTCCCTGTCTATTTATACTTTTCCTAGATTGTGCCCTGCGCATTTACTAGCACAGACATGAAGAAATGGGTACTAATCATTTAAGCTTTCCATACCACATACCAAATGAATTTACTAAGAGAAGACAACAGTTCTGCTTCCCTCTCAAGGGCAATGTACTGATAATGGGGAGTGGTATGCTGATGATATAGGTGTTCATAATTGAGATAAGAATTATCATTAGCAACAGCCTCTACCAAGTTTTCCAAGAAATAGGAAGAGAAAATAACATAGTCAAGATGTTGACATTACACCCTACTTCAAACAAAATCTTAAGAAAGCCCCCCCATCAATACTGGAAAGAGAGATAAAGCTACTGGATTTGAGAAATCAATTTTCCTAAAAAATTGCCTTTAAGAAAAAAATTTTATAAATTTCAACTGACAGTAGTACTGGCTGCTCGGTCAATGAATGCCAAATGTTTCCTTATAAGGAAAGAGCTAATATTACCATTACCATATATATTACAAGTCTAGTTTCAAACTATATATAAACTTTGAAGCTGAAAATGTCAGTTTCTGGACTCTTTAGTATATTAAGAAAATATAACAATCAAGAATATTCATTCTGATTACTAAAAGATATATATATATAAGGAGCAAGCCCAAAAGAGAACATTAAAAATGTCAGACTATTCTGATTAACAGTTCTCATCTCATTTGATTTATTTTGAAAAATGCACAAATAATATTTTGAGATCACATTTCTGTAATTAGCTTTTCACAGGAAATATGTTGAATATTTTGTTTTATAAAATTGTTTAGATATGTAATTCTGATTTATGTAAGATGCTAACTTTTTTTCTTAAATCAAGAGTAGTGCAATATATGAACGTTCAAATTACCAAATGTGAATGAATATTATTTTGATTAAATGAAAACCCTGGTGGCAGATTAGAAAAGAAATTAAGAAAAATTAAAGAAGAAATTAAAAAGAAAACTTAGAAAGTTTGGATGAAGAAAACTGAATCTTATGAAATTAAATCATTTGTTTTTTTTTTTTTTTGTTTTGTTTTTTTTTTTTTAACTACATTTAACAATTCAATTTTACAAGGCTGTTTTTATTTTTTATTTATTTATTTTTAAAATTTTTATTAACTAATCAATTTTTCAGGTTTGTTAATTCATCAGAAAGTGAGAAAAAAAGATCGAAAGGCTCAGTTGAAGGAGAATTAAAAGACTTTGATTTTGCTTATAGAGAACTGATAAAAAACCAAGAAAAAAGGTTTGTTTATTTGTGTGTATAACTTTTTTATTTCACTTATTTATGTGCCATGCGTGATACACGCTTAAGCGATCATGTATCTTTTGATACATGGCTGACGAGGCAGATTTTTTTTTCCTGCAGTAGGTTGCCATTTCTTTCTGCTGTTGCCATCCAAGGCTATAGAACCCAATCTGTCCTGCTATTTACCCATAGCTGGGGGGAGAAGAGGAGGATTCGTACTTTTCCCAAGGGTATTAGCACATAAGTGAATGTAATGGATTTGACTGGAATTCAAACTCAGCTTTCCAATTCCTCAATCCAAGTTGCTATCCATTACTCCACTGTGCCTCCTGCCTTTTTTTATTTAGTTGTCACAAATAAAAAGTGGTATTGCAAATTAAAATTTAGCATAATAAGTGACAATAAGATATTTACACCTGGCTTCAAGTTGGATAGAACAACAAAATCATTTTGTAGAACTTTTTGAGAAATTTATTTCAGTCACTTTATTGATTTGCACTTATTTCTTTGTAAAAGGAATTAATACACTGTCATGGGAGGGAAGAATATAAAGCTAATGATAGGTAGCACCTCCCTACCATGACATCACAGAAATGCCCAAACCTATATAAGTTGTACTTTAACATCTGGTGAGTCAGTGTGAACACCTATGTGGCTCATGGTAAAGTAACCTGAATTTTTAGAATTTGAATGAAGTATAATACTGTGTGTGAGATGGATAGCATATTCTATTTCTGAAATTGTGAGTGTATCTGATATTCTTCAATCTATGGTGTATCACATGTATACTATTACTTCCACCATGGTCAAAGCAATGGTCAACCAGATTCCTTAATGATTGTGATCAGTTGCATCTGGTTAGAATTGTCTGCAGTAACAAATGACACTGGCTCAAATTGCATCCACATTCAATGTAGATGTACTAAACACATGAGCAGTAGGTCAGTTTGGCATTCTGCAGTTTCCATAAGATATTTGAGCAAAACACCCACCAAGATGTCACTGTTAACACCATGATACTGGACACAGCACCTTACCTAGGCTCATCATGTTGCTAATTGTACCCTAGAGAAATTGCAATATGTGGGATGTCCTTTACACATTTATTTCCAATTGTTTTTTTAGTAATTAAGGTTTGTGTGTGACACAGACCCTCCTATAAAGTCATGGACTCCTATTGTCAACAAGACACTGTGCAGACTGCTGGTGGTTGGTGTGGGGGTTGTTCATGTATGACGAGTTGAATCTGCTTGTCCGCATAAACATGTCACCAACTAGTAATTGCAATGATTTATGATAGTTTGCACTCGATCATGGTGGGTTATTCCAGCAGGATAATGCACCCAAGTTGCCCAGAATTGGTTCCCAATACCTTTGATAAATAGTGTGGTCACTTTTTTTTTAGAATCTCCTTCACACCCCTGGGTAAGATGATAAACTACTTCTAACAGCAAGGCCTCTGATCAGGAGGTTTTGAGGAGTGTGGAACCACCTCTTAATTACTGGTGTTCTCAGGTCCACCCTGACCCGGGGTGGTAGCACCTGTTAGGGTCCCAGCTATGGGCAAATAGTTAACACCCAAACTTTCTTTGAAAAAAATATGACCAGCTATAGATTTCTTCAAGGAAAAATATTCCCAGCTATAGATTTTTGAAGAAAAACATATTACCAGCAATAAAAATTTTGTCAGCATTAAATAACCCACTGAAGTTGATATGCCGTAAAACAAAACAAAATAAACCAAACCAAACCAATCCTTCACACCCCATATATTAAATCATTGCAAAAGTTTGTGCAAAATTAGAAAATTAGAAACATTATTATTTGAAATATTCTAATTTTTCAAAGCAAAATATGAAATCGTTATACAAATGTTAAACTGTATCACTTTGATTTTAATAATGTCTTAATTTAATAATGTCTCAATTTATTACATTTAAGATTGGCTCAAGAGTTGGATGAAGTCAAGAAGCAAGTGCACATTGACATGATCCAACAAATTGATGAAGAAAAACATAAAACTGAGGAACTACTTCAAAAACAGAAAACTGGTTATGAAATTCAACTTGCTAACTTAGAAGAGATACTTGTGAGTTATTGTCTGTCTTTAAAACATAGGTTTATTTTAATTTCTACAAAATTTATAAGGTGCCAAATTTGACAAAACCATTTCAGCCTGATAAGTTGTTCTAGAAAAATGTTTTAACCCTAAACCTTCACTCACATGATCTTCAGACATATAAGAATATGTGGTAAAAATATTAAAATTTTCATAAACAGCCTAACTTGTCTGCTGATGTCATGAAAATAGACAATTTTAAGGAAGTAAAAAAAAAACATCTTTAAAATAAATGGATCCTTAATAATTTTGGTAGTTTTTAAACACTGAGCTAAAAAAGATAAGCATATATAACAATTTTTTACTTAAACTGTTTTTCTCAAAAATACACTTCTCTCAAAAGAACATGTACAAAAAACAACCTAGACTATAAAACATTATTACACCAAAGACTAAGAGTAATAAAAAATAAATTTTTTATAGTATACTACAGAATAAAATTACTTTTGTTATTGTTTTGTATTTCTTACAATACTTTCTCTTTTTAAAATTTTAACCATTTTGTTTAATGTCTTTCTTTCCAGAAAGAAAAAAACTGTCAGATGAAAATATCTGAAACTGAAAACAAAGAATTAGCCGAGCAAATAAAAAAACAAAAACAGGTAAAATAAATTGCAATTAAATTTTTAAATTTTTTTTGTATGTCTATGATTATTGTAATAGCTGCTTGAATTATCATAATAACTGCTTGAATAAGGTTATGACAGCAGTTTTGTTTTCAGTGTATGCTTTGGTATATTATTATATTACTATTTCATTTTTTGTGGCTTTTTATCATAATAATTTTAACTGATGCACTACTTGTTCAGTAGTTCAATATTGAAAATAAAAGTAATGATAGTGAAAATATGCCTTCAAAAATATTTAATGACTCTGTATAGTGTTTAAATAGATTAAAATATTTACAGATTATTATTTTAGCAAGAGAAATTTGGTATACATTGCCTTTCAATAAATTCATGTTATTTTATTTTTTGTTTATACATTCAGATATTTATAGTAAATAATTTTATTGAACATACACACACACACGCACACATACATATATATATATATATATATATCAATTTTTATCACAACATCGATGTTGGTAGTAGTTTTGAACGGTATTTTAAAAATACTGTTCAAAAGCACTATCCCTGATGACTGGAAATTTTACTAAGAAACATTGATTAAGATTACTTAACTTTTTAAATATCAATCTTTAGATTGATATTTAAAAAGTTAAGTAATCTTTTCATATAATATCATTAATGATTTATTTTTAATATTGAGCACTATATATAAAAATATCTGCTGTTTCTTAAATCTTAAATGTTATTTTATTTATTTATATATATATATATATATATATATAAAATTTCATATTATACAAGGTGAAAAGTTATACAATTTTGAGAATTCTTAATATTAATAACATAGTTTCATCTGTTCTACTCTATAATTATAATAGAAAAATGTGATAAATTTTATTAACTACAAGATTTGAATTGTCTTCATTAAAAAATATTCACCATTCTGATCTGCCAGAAATAATATTATGTAAAGGTTAATTTTGAATTCTCACTGTCATAACTTATGCTAGTTGGGCTGACAAAATGATGCTGAATCAACCATTAACTTAGTAATAGAATGAGAAAAGCAAGATTTGTGTAGTGATAGAAAAATAAATAAATATTAACAAGGAGACCAAAATTTCACAATCTCCAAAAGTAGATGTATATTCAGAATCCCTAAGCATCAACCAATGAGAAACCATTCCAATCAAGATATGAATATCATAATCTAGTGAGCCAATCAGACCAGTTCTCTTCCCAAACAGGATATGAGCTCACAGATGAGGGACCAATCAGAAGCCAAGCATCAATTTCAATGTGGGTCTATTTTTTTTCTTGCTAGTATATATATATATATATATGAGAATCACAATTAACAAATTTTATCCATTCTTTGATGCTGTGGTCACACTAACATACCCAGAATGGAAATATGACACTTAAATGTGGCACACACAATATTCCATAAACACACACATATACCTACCACTTAATATCATTTACATAGGTGACTAAGATATCCATACACTTATACATACTTCCTTCAAACATTTATGAAGGCAACTAATATGTTTGACTATATATTAACAAAGCTTTAAGTAATACTAATGAAAGTATCTTAATACTATTAAAAAAAAAAACTCTAAGTAACCTTTCAGCCAACACTTCTTCAGAGATATATCTTTGGCAAAAAATTTTTATATTAATACTGACAAGAACATTGAAAATATTTAAGGGACTAATAGGGTAGGAGAACACATTGGTGCATGATTAAAAGATAAAATTTGACTTCTAACAATTAAATAACTAATTTGTATAAATAATAATGAATAAAATTGATTACTAAGCTGAAGAAGCAGCAGAAAAGCAAAAGGAAAACTTGAGCCATTTTTTTTCTTCTGCTGAGTGAACACTAATTATTCTTCATATTTTTTTTTATTTAACTCTATCATAAATAGATTTGGATAACCAAATAAAAAATATGTCTATCCTTAATTTGGTTTTATCCATAAGAAGTTAAGAATCAACATGGCCAATCCTACAAAGTTTAGTACTGTTTTGCAAAATAGTCTCCATCTTATGTTGTTTTGCTTATCTTGCTTAGTGACATATATGTTGCTGTTGACTTGGTAGTGAGCAGATCGCCACAAACGACCATTTTGATCAAGTTGGGAACTAGTATATCTATGCACAAAATCTAATAACCTGGTTCATTAGCACATCAACATTAATTGCAGGAAGATGTTTAGGTTGTGATGCAAGCGACTCAAACTTGGAAAGAACACTCCTTATCAACTCTAGAGAGGGAATGCAAGTCCCTTAGATAACACTAACTTCTCAGTACCAGTGAGAGAAACACTAGTAAAATTTTTAATGTGCCTACCCAGGTCAATAGCAATGGAACTATATCTTTTCAACATGGGGGTATTTAAATAATTTTTGCTGTTTTGCAAGATCACACTTCTCTGCATATATGTTTCAAAAGACGAAAGATAATGGGAGAAACGTAAATAGTCTAAGAAGAACAATGACTTAATAACAATCCTCCATAATGAATGATATTGAACAGATAAGTGAGTTTGCCCCTTTTTCTAATAGCTTTTGGTTATTTACTGTTTTAAGTGTAGGTGTTTTAAATGTCATGCTTTTTGTGGTAATTGTGAGGCAGTTTTCTTAAAATGCTTACAACTAGCTCTTTATGAAAAACTTTGAATATGTTTTAAAATGTATAAAAAAACAGCAAAAGTTTGCATGTTTTTCTAGACAATAAACTCTAACTGGGAGCAATTATGTTGATATTTTGAAAGATTTTTTTTTTTTTTTGTTTTTTTTTTTGTTTTTTTTGGGTGGGGAGATAATTGAAAAAATGATTTTCCCCTATGTTTTACAATTATTTGTGCTAAGCTTTTTTTAGTAGAAAGTTGCATTTATATTTTGGAATTTGCAACAGGATATCAATATTTACATATGTTGTTTTGAAATTGGATTATACTTCATTTCTGGTAAAAGTAAGTATTAAAAGTTAAATTTATAGTAATTTTTACATAAATGTTTTACGAAATTTTTACTTAATTTATAAGATAAAAAAAAATATTTTTAAAATTATAAAATATGATTGTCTTTTTAACAGGAACTGGATGTAAAATTGATGGAAGAAAAGAAACGTCAAAAAGAGATTCTTCAAATAACAGACACTCTTTCTGTAGGTGTATGTTTTTTCTTTGTTTTTTTTCCAGTGTGTATAACTCATTTTTTATTTTGAGAGATGACTATTTCATCAAATTTATTGTATTTGTTATATTCCGTGCTAAGGGAATAAATACTTAACACCAGGTGGATAATAGAAGAAAGGTTTATTGTACACAACCAGTACAATATGAAATACGGTACAGTTATACACACAGGTCAATCTAGTAGTGAGTGCCGCTAATTGGAAAGTCGGACGTGCTTGCGTCGTCTTACTGTCACACTTCCTCTATTCGTCCTTGAGTCTCTCATAGACAGTGGACTTTATAGGTACTTACTACCTATAGTGTAATCATTCATGGGGGTGACTGGTTATTACATTACATTAGTATTATTTAAATAATTTTTTTTCCTTTAAAAGTCTATTGGATCTGATTTCTTTTTATTATTTATTACTGCCATTTTTGTTTTGTATAAAATGAACTTTCAATATGGAAAATTACTTGTATGAAATCTTTTTCAGAGTAAACCTCAGTCTGATGATTTGCTATTAAAGGCTCTCCAAAAAGCAAGAGATGATGCTGAGAACAATTTGAAAAGGCTTAATGTACATTTGCAAGAGTCTTTAAACAGTTCTTTCACTTCAGTATCAAACCAGTTAGAAGACTCAAATATTTTGCACTCTCCATCTTTGGTTTATCACCAAACCATGTTGACAATCAATTCATTGATGAATCTTGTTGAAGATGTACACTCTCAGGGCAGGCAAAGCATTGAAGATATTAAGAGCAAACAACAGTCTCTCAATAAAGAAATGTTTGACACACTACAGTCAAAGCAAAAAAATCATTATACACCAGATTTTACAGCTGGCTTATATCAAACATATCTCGCTGTCCTAGAGGCAAATGCTATTTGTCGCCATCTAAAGAAAAATATTGTAAGTATTTTTTAATTTGCTTTAATTGACTTGAACTGAAATTCTCTTTTGACATTTAAATTTTGGTTGTAATTACACAGTGAATCATAAAAAAAATTTTTCATGCATACAAGTTTATATGCTGAAAAGCAATAAGAGGAGCCATCAGATAATTTTATTATTTCTTAATGATCATCCATACATTCCTGCCTGAATTTCTGGGGTGAGGAGTTATGATTATTTACAATATCTTCATCTTTGTTGTTATTATCACAATGTTTCGGCCATTATGCTCTGTAACCTTCAAGAGATTTTGACATCAAACCCTTTTATTTAATCTATGGGTGTAGATTGTTCTCTTTCCACTGTCCATTTCTCATCTTGGTTAATTGTACAATTATTGCTAGTACAGTTCACACTCAGTCTATTTTCTTTATATAAATATGTTTCTTTTCTTTCTTTCCATCAAACGTGTGTAGAGGTACTTAATTTTTAGTAAGATTAAACCTTGCTCTTAGTTTTTAGTGAGATTAAACCATGCTCTTAGTTTTTAGTGAGATTAAATCTTTACTTTTAGTTGTTAATTGATCTTACTAGCTTCATCATGAAGCCTTCTCTCTATCGTTTCAAAGTTAGTCATTTGCTCTTACATTACTGTAAGGAATGTCTACCAATGTGCATATCATTTAAAGGATCAAATTTGAAATATAAGTAAATAGTAAATCCTCTGTCCCACCTCTCTTCACTCAATTTGAGATGTTATCATCTTCTGCTGATAAAGCAGAATATTTTGCTCATAAATTCTCTTACAATTTTACTCTTGAATCATCTGGAGTATCTTTGCCTGACTTTCCACTTAGAACTGTGTCTCTACTGCATGATATGCATATAACTCCATCCATGGTTTCTACTATCATCTCTAAACAGGATCTCCACAAAACATGTGAACTTGATGGTATCCCTGCAATAGTCCTTAAGAAATGTGCTCCTGAACTGGCTCTTGTTCTCTCTAAACTCTACAATAAATGCCATGCTGTTTCTTGCTTTCCTACTAGTTGGAAATCCTCTTCTGCAACTCCATTCTTTAAGAACTCATGCAAACCATCTGATCCTTCTAACTACTGGCCCATTAGCCTTCTACTTTTTCTTTGGCAAAGTACTAGAGGTTCTAAACAACTCTGAATTGGTTGAGCATCACATCTCACAGGATCTTCATTCATACAAACAATATGACTTTTGCTTCTTTAGGTCAACTGCTGATATATTAATGGTTATTGCTGAAAAAGTCTATTAAGATTTAGATAAGAATGGTGAAAATCAGGCTGTTTCTTTGGTTATCTTGAAGGCATTTGACAAGGTTTGGCATGCTGGTCTTTACAAGTTGAAAGGTTTTGGCATTTCTGAACAAATTTTTGATCTGATTCAATCTAATCTCAAAACAAAATTTGTCTTGAATGGCCTCTCTTCTGGATCTTTTTACATTAATGTGGGTGTCTGCCAAGGCTCTATACTTGGACCTACTTTGTTCCAAATTTACATCAATGACCTTCCTGATGTTATCAGTTCTCAGTTCTGCATCTATGCTGATGATACATCTATTTACACTTATTAAGTCTATGTTCAATATGGTCAAATTGGCAGCTGATCTCAAAAATTCCCTGCAATCTGTTGTTATCTGGAGCAAGGAATAGCTTGTTAATATTAACACCTCCAAAACAAAGCTGCTCTCTTTTTAATCGTCTTAAAGAAACTTTTGTTTTTGACTTCATCAGTATAGATGATGCCAAACTCCAGAAGAGTGACTCATTGTGCTTTCTTTGGTTAACCATTTCCACTGACATGTATTGGAATAATTATATTGAATCAATTGCTATGTCTGCTGCTAAGTTGGGGTTCACTGTCATGCTAGACAAGTTTTCTCTCCAGAATCCATCTTACACATAAGTCTATCATTCATCCATGCATTGATATGGTGCTTCTATTATGTATTTAGAGATCCAAAGAAGAATCTGCAATTTTATTTCTCCTGACCTGGCATCAAGGCTACAGTCACTTTCCCAATGCCATAACATAGTTCCCCGTGTTTTTTCTATATTTTCATGGTAACTGAACTGTGCTAATATGACTTCTTTGGTACCTCAACTTTGAGTTTAAAAGCAGTACTAGATTGGTAGCTAGGTCACATCATTTTACAGTTTAAATTGTTAGATGCAACTGTAAGTTCTATGCTGTTTCTTCTCTTGCACTCCTCACTTGTGGAAATTTCTTCTGGTTTCTTATTTTCCAATCAACTTTGATCTTCAAAAATTTTAAAAGTGATTTTCTGAGTAAAAACCTGCAGAAATTAGGTATTTCTTAAAAAAAATTTTTTCAGACTATCTTTAAAATTAGATGCTCAAAAATTAGTAAACACTATGAATGTAATTTTTGTTGCCCATACTTATCCCATGAAACCCCAGCTTTTGCACTGAGTGCAGTGTTGACTTCCTAAAAATGAAAAATCAACCTGCCCTACTGTGTTGTACAAGAAGCATGATGTTTCAATACAGCACAGTGTTTCAATACAGCAATTCTTTCTCCAATCTGTTGGATAACTCCTATTATGACACTGTATTCTGTTAATACAACATGTCAAGATTTTTTGGAATGTTCTCTTTTGGTCTGGTAAATATGACTACTCATTCATCTTTTACAGAACTTTTCAGAAATGATGAATTATACAGTAAAGAGTAAATCCTTATAAAGAAATTTAATAATTGACTTAAATGTTTTTATTTTTGTAAAATGATCATGATAAACTAAGAAGAGTACTTTTTTCCATATTTTTATTATTGAAGGTTGTTCTACTGTTAACATTTTAATACATTTTTCAGGTTTTTTCCCGAGATGATTCCCTTATTGATGGCAATAAACTGTGTACAACGGTTAAATGTAGCCATCTGGACAATAAACTCTGCACCTACTGGTCAATGGATGTCTTTCAAAATAAATTACATCTCCTTAGAGATATATATGAGGTATTTGTTCTTTATCACATATTTTAATGTATGTGTTTCCATCTTATTTAATATTTTTAATTTAAAGATTAAAAAATCCCTTGAATATTGCATATATTTTAAACTTGTCTTTTTTTTATTATAAACAATTAATAACAATGTATTATAATAATATTATTATAATTATTATATTATACTCTTAAGGCTGATTAGTATATATGTATGTGAAATTTGTGTATATAGATGACGAGAAACTTGCGAGAATCAATCTTTTGATTTGCATTCAGTCTCGTATGCAATGACTTCATTTCTGCGTCTTACTGGTCTTCCGAGTAGATTTATTTTATTACAAAAACATTCTTACAAGTAATCTTTCCTTTTCTTTAAACCGAATATTAATTTATTTTTTTTTCAGTTTCCTTTATGGATAATTTTTTTTTTTTTTTTTTTTTTTTTTTTTTTTTAGGAGTAACTTTTTTAGCTAAATTTACATGCTAATTTTTTCTTTTATCTATTATTCGACATGTAAATATCTCGATCATTTATTTTTAGAAATTTTTAGTTATGTTATTTTTCTTAGTTTTTAAACAAATTCCTTCCGGTAAGCATAATTTTTTGGTGGGTGGTTAACTTCTTTTATCTAAAATTTACACATGTTTTTTTTTTGTTTTTTTTTAACTAGTATTTAACATGTAAATAGCTTGATTAATTTATTTTTAAGCGATTTTTAGTTAAATGTTTTTCTCTTAGTTGTAAATAGTCTGTCATTTTAATCACTCTATTGTAAACGTTTTATTAAGTGTAGTTTAGAAAAGAAAAGAAAAAACCCAAAACACATCCCTATCTTGGCCGCATGTAGGAAGATCAATACAACCATGCATACCTAATCTATAACTTCGAATAGCCCAAGTGAAGTCTTGATTGGTTGTTGTCTACTGGGGCACCTTATATAATTCACGTCCTAAAGCTAGTAGCAAATTTTGTTCTAGGTGCGGGCCGAATACTGATCATATTCGGTCGGGTCGTCCATCGAAGAAGTCTGTTGTTTATTTAGACCCGAAACTTCTAGTGACATGGGAGCAACAACACTGACAACGTATCTAGATTCGGCGCTTAAAGGTGTATTTTAATAATTATATTGATTAGAATTATATCATCATAATAATAATAATGTATTATAAACAATTAATAACAATGTTTCATCTGGTACTTACTTTATTATCAGCATTGGAACTCTATCTTGTAAATTTCTGAGAACTTAAAACTTTTGAATAAAAGCAACGAGATTTTTTTTTTCTACTACAAAAGATTTAGATCAGTGGAAAGAATGAAAATGAGTAATCAATTCATGAGCATAAGCAGCCTGGTTTTACTATTACTTTATTTAGGTTATAAGTTAATTTCTTGTGCTCTGAGGAATATTACAAATAGTTTTGTTGAACTACATTTTTGTCTTTGTACATACTATTTTCTTAAAGATAGATAAAGATTAAAATCATGTATTTTTGATGAACACAAGGCCGCAACATGATAAATGTTTTGATGAACACAAGGCAGCAACATGGTAAATGTTTTGATGAACACAAGGCAGCAACATGGAGACCTTTTGTAAAAGAAGACTTAAAGTATCTTTATTAATCATTTGAGTTTATTGTCCAAACCAACTCCTAAGTAGATGCAACGTCATAAATTACTTGTGAACTACAACCAAAAGTATTAACATTTTCTATTGGTTGAAAATAGAAAACATAGCAGCTTCAGATACATTCCAGATGACTTCATTTATTTTCTGGCTTTTCAACTTGCCAACACTCATATTGTTTTCTTCTAAATCAATATCTGATATATCTGTCTATATCTCTGAGATGACGTATTGTGATTATTTGTATTATTTACATTATTCGGACTGTTATCCTTCATTGCTATATTCACAACATTTCGGCCGTTATATACTCCAGCCTTCTTCAGGTGATTAGAATTTCGAATCAAACCTTTTATTTCGGCCACCGGAGTAGATTGTTCTAGTTCCACATGCCATGCCTCTTCTGGATGTCTCAGTTTTTTCCCTTTAGCTCAACTTCTCCAAGTTTTTGGTTCGCCACTGCTGTGGCCTGGTACTGAACTTACAACTCTTTGGGTCCTTGAGGACACATGGCCCAGTGGATAAAGACATTGGTTAGATACAGTGACTAGACCCAAAGTGTTGTGAGTTCAGTACCAGGCCACAGCAGTGGTGAACCAAAATAAAGGTGATATCTGATATTAACAAATAATGATTTCATAAAAAAATTTAAAACATTTGTTTATTTATTATGAGTAGTAAAATATTCCAGATAATATCTAATAATCAGAAGGTTGTGTGAACAGTAAAAATTGATTTTTTTAAAGAGAACTTTTTTAATAATTTAACCTGAAACATTTTTGAGTCTAATCCAGTCTTGGACCAATGATTCAAAAGTGATTGTTATGTTTGAACAGCTATTTGTCTTAAATTTGGTATGCATTTGAAGAATAATTTTGAAAATGTTTTTTGAAAGTTGATGTAATTTGGTTCTTTCTACATTAATTTATTTTATAATTGACAAAATATATAAAATATTTTATTTTGCACCTGTAAGAATGGAGATGATAGTGTAGAAGTTGTTTTTGCTGACGAACAATTCTGGGAGAATGATGATGATTGGTTGAACTTTACAGTATCTCCTGAGATGTGAGTAATCCTTACTTTTAATTTAAATTACACCGAGAACTAATTTGTATTAAATTCTTTTAATTTTTAATTTTTTTTTTCCCTAACATTAAATTAATTAAAGAAGGTTGGCTAATAGAGAAAGAAAATTGAGACTAGATTAAAATAGAAATGATGCATATTATCAAAACTAAGATTAAACAGCTTACAAAAATTATTAAACCGTACTTATCAATCCACCTTATCTCAAAATTGTTACAAGTTTCAAAATCTGATTAAAGAGAGAAAAGTTAGAGAATTACTTCAAATGTTATGTATAATTCACTCTCAAGTTTTTCACAAGTGTTCAATGAAAATAAACTATTTTGTTGGCTATGTTAGGAATGACTGCAAAACACTTTCCTTCCCCAATTTATAGGCAGAAGCACACAAATGCATGCTGGGATGTCTTCCGAGCCAATAAATTAGGCCACTTGACAATTTCATCTGACTCAGACCCGGTTTGTCTTGAAATCAGAACACTACATTCGTTTAGCTGAACTTGCTCTTGATAAAAGCCAAACAAGTCTTACACTATTTGAAAGGCACAAAAACACACTGTTTAATGTTTAATAAATCTAGTAAGCCTGATAAGGTGCAATGAGTCACTTTCCTGGTGGTTAGCATCAGCCATGCTGATGGAAGACAGCAAGGGGTCTCTTAGATGATTAAACTTCTGTCTATTAATCCATTAGTTTTGGAATTAACAAACCATCTTTTGCCCCAGTTAACGACGGGCTTGAGGTCATTTTGGACATCAGCTGCCATTTTGACCTTGTTGGCCTGATTAGCCTTACTATTGAGGCAGGAGTAAATGGTTGTCATCAGTGTAGATGTCAAGTTGAGTGCTGATGTCATCAGGAAGGTCGTTAATGAAAATTTAAAAATTGCGATGGTGCCCTGGGGGACACCCGCATTAGTACAAAAGGATCTAGACACATGGCTGTTCAGAATGGCTTCCATTTAACAATTTGATAGGAAAGATTGGATCAGCTCAAAAATGTATCTGGAGACACCATAACTTTTCAGCTTGTGGAGAAGACCTGTATGCAAGAACCTGTCAAAGGCTTTCAAAATGTCCAATGCTACTGCCCAGGCTTCACCGTTTTTATCTAGGGCGTGGTAGACTCTTTCCACAATTACTGTCAGTACATCAGAAGTTGGCCTGGAGAAACAAAAGTCATATTGCTTGTCTGAACAAAAGGCCCTGCAATGAGAGATGATGAACCAATTCAACATTGATTAGTGCCTGTATGAGTTTCCCAAAAAGAGGTTGAAGGCTAATAGGGTGATAGTTGGAAGGGTCAGACAGTTCACCAGAGTTCTTAAAAACTGGAACAATAAATGATGACCTTCAGCAGGCAAGAGGCAGTTATTATACACTTTAGAGAGAACAGGAGCCAGTTTAACAGCACACTTCTTAAATTTTCTATTGGCTAAATATCTGGAGAGGCTGATGACTTTGAAACATTTTTTGGCTAGGTAGAACATTTATTTTGCATAAATATATGCTTTAACTTAAAGCTTCTTGGTTGTGAACTGTATCACTTAAAAATTCTATATCCAAGAACTTATAATAATTCTCTGTATTTATTTTGCCATCATTTGAAAGTACCAAGTATAATTTTACTGTCTTCTAGTCTAAAATATTATTCCACCTTTCCTCTGTTGTTTTCTAAGTCATGTTGTTTGACAATTTCCATGAAGGAACTAACCTCATGTAGATCAACATACAATACTAAAGATTACTGTTAAGAAATAAGTTACTTTGCCCAACCTACAAGTATCTTTTTCAGATATTTACTTAAAGATGGTTCTTAATATTTGATATATTTTCTATTTATATTTACAACACCAGCTTAATATATTTTCTTACTGGTCAAGTTATTCTTGTAAAGTCATTTTTTTTCTTTTTCTTGCTAATGTTTTCAATTGTTTTATTGACTGTTTTATAGTCTCTGTTCAATTTTTTACATTTCCAATGTTATGTTCCCATTACTTAGTAAATTTATCTTGTCTCTCTTTTAAATTTATACATTATGACACATGGCTGTTTTTGTATATCTGAAATTAAAATAAATATTAAAACTATTCTAAAATATATAGTAAAGTAAAATAAATTCTGTGTATAATTCACGTGTGTCCTAGTAATATAAAAATATTAAAATTGATTCACAAAAAGAGATCTTGATGTATTTTATACAGAGCAATATCATGAATAATCAAGAAAGAATCTCTTTTTACCTGGGGAATAGATTATTTTGGCAGACAATACAAGTGGATGACTACTTGTATCATCTGCCAAAATAATTTATTCCCCATATGAGATAAAAAGTAATTTTTCTTGACTATTCATCACACACACACACACACACATATATAGGTAGGTAATAATCTGTTGATATATTATGAAAGTGAATCGTAATAATATAAAATATTAAAACTGATCCACAAAGAGCTCAATGTATTCATTATTACAGACCATAGAAATTACATACAATAGGAATTTAAAATTACCAATTTCAAACTGATCAAGGTAATAAAATAAAATAAAACATTATTTTATCTTATTACCTTGATAAGTTTGAATGACCTTGCAAGGGAATCTTAACTTGTAAGGTGAAATGGTAATAACTATGAGGTAATTTTAAATTCCTATTGTATATTTTTATATATATATATATATATATATATATATATATATATATATATATATATATATCTTACTTATTATAAAACATAGATTTGTGTGTGTGTCTGTAACGTTTATATATTGGATCGGATTTCCTACATTTTTCAACCGATTTCAACAAAACTTTAGAGGACTACATAAAATTACCTTGTGGTGGTTCTAACAGCGCCAAAAACGGGAAAAATATAATTGTTTTTGCACAAAATCAATTTGAAAACATGATTAAGAGACATCGTGAAAATGGAAGGGGGACAACTCACATCGGTTTGTTTGTGTGTGTGGGTTACTTTAAATATGGGAGTGGATTTCCTATATTTTTCAGCCGATAAAACAAAACTTCACTTCTTTTTTTTTTTCTTTTTTTTTTGGCAGGTAGTGTTTCTTATTCTCTTGCACACTTTTTTCTTTATTTTTAACATTCAGAATGCTTTAAAAATTCCATTTACAAGACAATTATTTATAATAAAATTCTATTCAATCAGTAGACTCATAACGATTGAAAACAATGTTTTTGTTTGGGTTTGACCAATTCGTAAAAAATAAAATAATTAAGACATGAGTGTCCGTCAACCTTAAACAATAATCTAACGATCTCTACTGATTGTACGAATACAAACATCGGAATAAATTCTTTACCTTTAGGGAAAGATAATGAAATCTAAACATACACAAGTCCTAACTAAAAATAATAACCAGAACGGGAAACTACTTTAAATATACATGGTGTCCAATTTTTTTACTGTATTCAATAAGTAAAAATCATAAATTGTAAAAGATTATTATTACAGAAAGGCTACTAAATGAATAAGATTTGTTAGATCATAATTAATAAACCCAAATAAAGTTAATATTTTTTGTATTAGAAACAACGAGTGGAAAATATATTCAAATCAGAATTCTAATTATGAATCACCACAAGCAAAATATGCAATTTTTATTACTGTATTCAATAAGTAAAAATCATAAATTGTAAAACTAAAAGATTACAGAAAGGCTACCTACATTTTTCAACCAATTTCAACAAAACTTCACTTTTTTTTTTCATTTTTTTTTTTTTTTTTGGCATGTAGTGTTTCTTATTGTCTTGCACACTTTTTTCTTTATTTTTACATTCAGAATGCTTTAAAAATTCCATTTACAAGACAATTGTTTATAATAAAATTCTATTCAATCGGTAGAGACTCATAACGATTGAAAACAATGTTTTTGTTTGAGTTTGGGTTTGACCAATTCGTTAAAAAAAAAAAAAAAAAACTAATTAAGACATGCGTGTCCGTCAACCTTAAACAATAATCTTTGTCAATTTTATTTTTCAGTCTTTATGATGGTGGATACTTGATCTATCTCTTACTGTTATATCCCCGGGCAACGCTGGGGCTCTACTAGTATATATATATATATATATATATATATATATATATAAATACAAGAGGATAGAATCCAGGTAGAACTCAATGTCCAGGACAGAGTAATAATATAATAAAAAAAGCTCAAACACTAATATTCCATGGTTATAATTTATTACATTGGAATCATAATCATGATCAATTCATCAGACCTACAAATTCAAAAGCAAAATTTACAATTTCTTCTTGAATTTGTAGGTCGGATGAATTGGATCGTGATTACGATTCCACTGTAATAAATTATAACCATGGAATATTAGTGTTTGAGCTTTTTTATTATATATATATGATCAGTGTATATATATATATATATATATATATATATATATATATATATATATGATGAACAATCTTAGTTGTATAATAAAATCTCACACTACCAAATAAGTTATTGTAAATATTTCTAATAAAAAATACAATATAAAGTAAATTCATGTGGTATACTTATCTAAATATATTCTGATGATTTTACCAAGACTGTAGTAACTTTATAGTGATTTTATTACTGCACAATAAATTCTGACAGTTTAGTAGTGAAACTGTCAAAATGTGAATTAAAGAGAAAAATATTACCAGATTGTTTTATGTTAGAAAAAAATATTCTTATGCTTCTAAACGCAGTATAGTTTTTTTTAATAAGAGTTACCATTATGGCAAATATCTGTATAATCATCCTTTTGTGTGTATTTATGTACCTATTTATGCTAAGTCCTTCTTGTTAATGAATATAACCTATGTATTACATCATAATATATTCACATACCTTCTTAAGAACTAATCTTGCTTTGTTTTTTTTTTTATGTATTTCAGTTTAAGCAACATTTTTATACGTATTTCTTTACTTATAATGCATGACACATTACTCCAAATATATTATTGTAAAATATGTATATTAAATTTAATTACTTCATTAATTTTACTTATTATATTTTTTTTTTATTTTTAATAGTCAAGGACTTCCAGTTATATTGGCATCCCCAAAACATGTTAGATCCAATTTTCGTCGTTTTAGCTCTCCTGGTTTCTCTAGAAATAAATCTTCTGCAGGTAATGTGCATTTTTATCTTCAACTTGTATATCTTACTCATTTGTATACTACTAAGTCAGTTTAGTTTAATAAAGACTTAAAAAATATTAGTGCTAGGGATGTAGTGTTGGGATTTTAAAGATCGTATATAGTACTCAGAGCTTGGTTTCTATTTTGATATAATTTTTGTGATTTTTTTCTAAATCTTATTTTAATCATCAATTTGGATATGTACATGGTGATATTTTAAGTAGAAGCTCCTGAAATATATGTATATATTTCCAAGAGTTTTACGCACTACTAATCATGATCCTTTTGTTGATAGCAGCAAGATCAATAGTCAATAATGTTTTAAATCATAAAGGCTCTTCTCAAACACATTTCCTCACTAAATATAAAACTGATAGTGATACAAAATCATATAGAATTTAAAGATTCAATAACTGCTTTCAAATTCTTCGTTTACGTTACGGGTGCAAAAATCAAGTTAGCAGATAAAAAGTTTAAAAAGCCCTGATGACATACGTGCATTTCTAACTGAAAAATACTTTGCTATGATGGCTACTCATGGCTGAATGGTAGACAACATTTAGCTTCAAGATGGGTTTCATAATTAAGGTGGGAATACAGGTTTAATTGCTGTCGGTTGGCATATTTTCTTTAATAAAGTATTTGATTTTTATGACGGTAGCCATTAATTTCATTGTTTAAGAAACAGATAAATCTACTCAAACCCATGTACCTACTGAATATAATGTCTGATAAATATAAAATGGCTGGTTGTAAAATGCATTAATTACTTAAAAATTAATCTAGCATAAAATAAAAAAGTTTGAATTCTTTTTTCTTTGTTTCTTTTCTGTTCTCAAAATTACAGATATCTTTATTTATGTCATAAGAGTATCTTTTTTTTTTTAATTATTATTTTTTATTAACCAAAGGAAAAATATTAAAGTTGTATATGTGGCTTTTAATAAACTGACATGCCAAAACTTGTATTCTAGCAGTATGTGATGGTAGATGGTGCCACCATACCTTGATATCATGCCCAGATCTATATCAGTTGTGGTCTGGTGAGTTAGGATAAACACTGCCTTATCTGGTTGTGGCAAGGCAATGAAAATTATTGAAGTTTGAATGGGGTATGAAAGTGGGTGCCAGATGGATAAGACATTCAAGTTTTGAAATTGTGGGACATTTGACATCCTTTGACATAAAGTACTGTGTGTACTGGGAATATTGTGAACAGCACACTGACTGAACATAGGTCCTTAATGATCATAAGCAAAGGCATCTAGATAGAATTGTCAACAGCAACAGACGAAACGACACTAGGTTATATCACATTACCGTTCAATGCAGGATAGACCAGATGCATATTGAGCAGTTTAGTTCAATGTTTTTTTTTTTTTATTAGCTTCCATGGAATATGGGAGCAGGAAATCCACCAGAGTGCCCCTTGTTAACATAAGATACACCACCTCACCTGGTTTTGTGATGTCACTAGTTCGATCCGAAGGACTGACAATGTGTGACATGGATGAATCATGGTTCCAGTTGTTTTGGACTGATGTAGCACAGATGTTATGAGGCCATATATCCATGTTGTCAAGAAAGCATCATGTAGGCTAGTGTTGATTCATGATGGCGTGATGAGTGTTCACATGTTATGAGTTGGGTCTGCTAGTCTGCATAAATATGCCATTAACCAATGACCACTACATTGCACTGCTTGTGACAATTTGTAACCATTCACAGAATCCATGTATCCCAACAATGATGGATTATTCCTACAGTATAATGCATAATGTTATGAGGACCATATTTTCCACAATTCATTTGACAAGCATTCTGGAGATTTTCAGCAAATGGTATCATCAGACCTGAGTGCAATTGAGAATTATGGGATGTAGTAGAGAGAGGGATCTATTCATATGCAAGATCTTGCTTCTACAAATATCAGGGAAACTCTGAACAACTGTCAAGAAAGGCTGGTTCAACATCTATCCAGAAGTCTACTTGTGGAATTCATGCCATGTTAAATTGCTGCACATCACTGGACTAAACGAATTTACCACATGATTTTTAGCATGTTAGTATACACTCTTGTGCAAATTGAAACAACTGCTTTAGTTTCCTTTCTTTCACTATATGGTCAGTTTTAGACCCACTGGTGTAACAGGGTGTAATCAATTTCTATTTTTTCCTCAGATTAGCTAATTTGCAATGGTGTGCAGTAATATGAATCTATTTTTGGAGTGTATGATGAAATTTGTTTGGCCTTGAAAAATATTGTGTCATCTGTGATTGCATCAGATTTTCATCACACCCAGACACTATTGTTTTGACTGTCAATTAGTTGTCCTACGAACATTGTCTGTGATGGATGTTACTCCAAGGAAGCGTATGAAAATTGTAATGCTGTACTAACACAATGGCAAGCCTTACCAGTAAGCAAATCAAAGTACTATAGATTGGCCCGGAAACTCTCCTGATTTAAATCTAATTGAGAATCTGTGGTCAATCTCCAAGGAACGACTTCATGGAATGGACATACAAAGTACTAACATGTGTAGTGGGTCATGTTTCATTGGAAAAATATGAAAAAGGAGTAAATAATAACAGAATTATTTGTTTTGTTTCAATTAATTTGCACAAGGGTGTACAGAAAAATGTACAGATTTCTAAATTTCTTTTTCTGCAAAGTTATAATTAACTGAAATTATTCATTTTAAATCTTGAATCACATTTTTTACTTATTACATGCATATATACTCTCTCACCTCAGCATGGATGACTTAATACTCAAGGATTATTTCAGTGTGTCTGTGGGATACAATTCCCCTGTTCAAGCAAAACTAATGTTCTTGTTCTTTTGAGTTCAAAGACAATTCAGAACTGATGTCTTTCCCCACAGGCTTCAACTATGTTACAATGCCTATCATGCTTCTCTGATATCTCAACAATTGGCAATGGTTGTGCAATGGAACTTTCTTAGCTGTATTGATATGATACCACCAGCTTATTTCCAGTTCTGATGTTATAGCTTTTTTTATTGTGGTTATCCATTACTCAGATGGTAACATTATACTTGTGCAGAATTCATGTTGGTTGGCTGGAGGTGAATTTGACTGGAGGTCTTGTTAATGCTGCACCTCCATCCGAATAGGTATATATTTGCAACACATAGGTTTTAATGTATAAAAAATAATGTGAAGTTAGGTTATATTGCTCATTTCTATTTGTTCCTTGATAATTTTATAGCTCTGAAAATAATTTTATTCAACTGTATATCATACTAATTTTAGATTTTCTTACTATGGTCTAGGATGATAATTTACTGAGAACAGTCTTAGATATTTTTTCCACAATAATCTAGTTTATATCTTTTATTTTCAGTTAAAGAGTCATTTGGAAATATTCAATTTTCTTCTTGTATCTCAATTTTGGCCTCAATTTTCCAACATACATCAAAATTGGTGAAGAAAGAAGAGCAATTTGGTAAGCTACTTTACTGTGACCAATACAAAATGACTGAATATTGCTTTTCCATGTTTGAAAGATATACAAGGTTTTCTACAAAGTTCTCAACATGACAAAGAAACCCTTCCAAAAAAAATAACTAAAATAAAATTTTTTCGCATTCCCTCAGTTATATATGTATACACACACACACACACACACACACACACACACACACACACACACACATATATATATATAGGGTGTCCA